GAATACAATAGTCCTACTTGAAACGACCCGAGATCGTTTACTCACGCCGCCGACCGCAAAAGCACCCTCCTCCCTCTTCGAACAACCCCTTCCCAGAGACCGCGAAAAAAAAAAGGTCGCCTGACTTTCGATTAATCAAATTATCGCGCGCCCCGAGGGTTGATACAAAATCCAAAAGGAGTTGGGGTTAAAACGGCCAGCCACTTGAAAGTTCCAGATGGGAGGACAAACATTTGTCCACTTTTTGCAATTTGTACAGGTCAACCGATGGTTCATTTTTTTGATTCTGTAAATTTTTGATTGTTTACTTTTGCCGCGTGTTTTGTGGCACGCCACTGGCAACATCAATAAATTGTCAAAATCTGTCAAAATTTTTAATGACTGTGTGACGGCTAATAACCGATAATCGATTTGTTCAAGGCGGCCTATTGATTGCAATTGAGTTTGCAGTTCGGTTTTCATTTTTTTGTTGGCTACTGTGGACGTTTTTATGGATTGCTCGCTCTTCTGGACAAACAATTGAATCTGTGAGTTTAGTGATCGGGGACCATTTTAGAGTTTTTAACGTCAGGCGGTTATTTTTCATCCATCTAAAAAGTGAAAAGCAAACATGTGGGCGATGGTTTTCCGGGCGGGGAAACGCTTAAAGTTCAACAAAGCAAAATATTTTAAAAGTAAACATTTTTAATTTAATATATGGCGTATTTTATTGAGCAAATTTATTAAAATGTTATTAAAATATATATTAATATCTATTTTAAGTCTGAAATAATTTATTATAATTTGATTTTATTTTTCATTTATTTAAACGTCTCTTATTTATGGCAAAATTTATTGATTTATGTGAATAATTAATCATGTTAAGTCTAGAAACGGTCTAAATTAAATGAAATATTAAAATAGTTATTGTTATGTTTTAGGTCTAGCATATGATTTAAGTTTGCATGTTTTAGGTTATATTTCTGCTTTTGTTCTATGATTTGTGGCTAAAAATGTTTATTATCAATAAAACCTTTTATCAGTTGACTAAAACTATGTTTTTTGGCCATAAATAACGATTTATTTTAGTGTATTCCCTGCCCGTTGACTGGCTTTCACTTTGCCCAAAAACCACAACCTCAGAAACTTTCGCACCTATGTCGGATGACCAGGAAACCTCAGATGCATGCAAGTGCAGTACTCCGACCACCACCACAACTTCCTCATCCCAGCCCGTTGTCTAACCCTTTTTTTTGGGCTTAATTGCTAAGGCAGATCATAGCCATCGGTCCGTTGCTGCAACAAAGTAACTGACAACAATCCCACAATCCGAATCCTTCTACTTCGGCCCGAGTCAATGGTTGTATCACATGCATAAATTATCGTAACTGTAACAGTCGCGCATGTTTCAGTTCATTAGGGGACAGTTTGCGACCTTAACCCTTCTTCACGAGCTGCACGGTGCTGTTCGTCTGTGTCCATATGCAAAATAATGCCGCATCATTAGTGCGACGACCAACAATGGGAAAGGGTTGCAAGTGGGGCACGTGCCCGAACACCGGCTGCAAGTTCTCCGTTTCGGGACTTTTTTGCCCTTAACCCAGCCCAGAAATCGTGTTTTTCCCAGGATTTGCATATGCTGATGTTCACAGCATCATGTGAATTAGATTTTAGTGCTTTTCATTGTCGCAGGTCAAAGGGTTTAAGGGCAGGAGCAAAACTGTCTAGTCATACAAGTGTGTGATTTTAAAATACAGATATCCAAAAGATTAAAGGGTATATTGCACTCTTAATTTGAATTTTGAAAACGCTTTATCAATTTTTAAGCTGAGCCCGTCTTACAAAGATCCTGGATCGAAAAAATTAGACAAAATTAAACCTTTTAGTATGAACAAATATAAGAAGAAGATGAACAGCAATAAAACTGTTCAACTAATTATTCTCAAAGTCCACATTTCCCCAAAAAAATCTGTTCTAATTCAAAGACCACGCCTTCGATTCCTTGCATAACGCCTCCTGTTCTCGGTCAGTGATTTTTTCCCACACAACAGGGAAACCACAGAAAAATGTTGACCTTGTTAAGTTTTGGCAAAATAACCCGCAGAGTTGGCGATCCATCTGGGCAAGGCCAGTTACCTGACGGGGATCCCGAGATGAGGAAGATTGGAGGGCGAGCAGCTTGGACAGGTACTCACGCTTTATCCACTCACAAGTCACGGCTTCGTTTTGCAGCCAAAGAAGTTGCAAATGCAACCATAAATCAGCTCCTCATATAGGGGACACGAGCAACAGTTCATCGGCTGGAATATATCTAATAATGATATCAGGGCACGCTCTCTGGGTATAACGCGTTCTGATTGCCTCTTCGACAGCTTCCCGAAAAGCGGGAGGCTTTTCTCAGGCTCCTTTCCCTTTTTGAGGTCCCAGCAGGCGAGGCATCGTGACACCATCTCCATATGCATTTTCAACTGATGCAAACTACAGTAAAAAGTATTTCCAAAGACTCCTCAGCCATCCTCTTCCTTACCCACGTCACGGTTATTACACTGAAAACATTAAAGAGGCCAGAACCAAATAGCGTTAATGTGTCTTCCTAATTTAATTAGATTTTTTAAGAAATATAAAAATGAAAGATTATTTTAATTAATAGATGTACCTTATTTCGTTTATGATTATATAACCTTATTTTCAGCTGTGTATACAAAACAATTATGATAGAAAAAGGAAAGGAAGAACGTTTTGACTATGAGTTACCCATTACTTATTTTTTTTCCTTTTAAATTATTCTTTAACCGTAAAACCATTTTCATAGAAAATTTTTTATTCAATATTAAGGAGTTCCTTGTTCTTACATATCGCCTTTAATCCTACCGAATTGTATATACCCACTTACTTTATAAATACGAGGTACAACAACAACGCGGCTTAACCAAGCACAGGGAAAAAGAAAAAGGATAAAAGCTTCATCTCCAATTCCTTTTTCTCCCACAAAAAAGTAAACACCATCACCACCAGCAACAACATCCAAGTATATCTCCAAAATGAGATGAGCGTATTCGGTTACTCTCGCTGTCTTTCTCCCACGGCACGATAAATGGAGACATAGGCGTTGGGAGAGGGAAAAAGAAATGAAAGGATCTCTCGAACAATTCCAAAATAGGTTAGAGCATAACATATACTGGACCAAAATCCTACAGGAGTCATATATTTAAACTTCTTATTGATATGTTTGTTGTACAGTCAAAACACAATTTTAACTACACCCATGACTGCACAAAGGGGAGAGCTTGTATCCACACGAGCAGAAGAAACTGCGACAATGAAGATGGTGATGATGATGATGATGATGACGATGATCAAGCGACGATGTGATTGAAACAAAACATCTTATTATTACCTTCGACCGGCCGAAGGAACGACCCCGTGCGACCTCGACGTAAAAACAAGCGAATAAAAAAACGCAAACACAGAGAGTGCGCAAAATAGTTCCCACGCTCACGGGCCAGAGACGGCCTTTGTCGTCTCCGTCTCCTTCGCATCATCATCAACATTATCATCATCATCATCATCGTGGTGCACCGTCGGGCCATATAAGGCAACGTCCTTCCAACGCCCCTGCCCGCCCCCCTTTTTGCAGAGTTTGCAAAAAAAAAAAAAGTAAAAAAGGCAAACAGTGTCGAAATTTCTGCGCCTGATTTTCCTCCTTTGCTTTCCTTTTTAGCCCTTTCCTTCGAAACGTTTTGTAGGCTGGCCAAAGAAGTCTCCGTGATTGATTTCACCTCGCCCCCCGTGAGTGCCGAACATAATTTCTTAACTTTCACAGCTCATTGGGCTTGAAAAGTCACTCACACGGGGCCAGCTTGACAATTGACAGGTGAGGGTATCAAGTGGTTAGGGCTCATAATTATAGTTTTTAGTGATGCGTAAAATGTGAACTTTAGGATGGGTTTTTCGGCAGTTCCCTTTGGAGTTTCTGACCCGAGGATGCACTTCAAAAATAGGTGACTTTACAACAGTAATGGTATTTAAAGTTAATATTTAATTATATTGAGAACAACGTTACGTTAATTCCCTAAAATCAAATTAGAGATCCACCTATATTAATTGGCAACATGTTAAATAATCTACAAGTTTTACTATATCCTTAGCCATATAAGATATTTTAAAAGTGAAATTTAAATGCCCAAGTAGGCACCTTTTTTCTTGGTGTATTTAAGTGTGCTGGTCTTGGGACCGACATCAGGTTCATGTTAATACATTTAAGGTAACCACAAAAACGGCATCCCCATCCACCGTCTAATCAAAGTTTTTGCCCATTGAGCCAGATTATTTTACATTTCATTAATGTGTCGAAAAATGAAAATACTTTCAATGAAAGCGACTCCCAGGACCAGCTGCCTGAGTTCCCCGTCATCATCGCAATCATCTTCATCATCATCGTCTTCGGTTGGGAGTTCAAGCCTGGGGTATCTGGAATCTGTGTTATCGATCAGTGCTGCGCAATTAACTTACAAACTTATGATTTGGGATAGGTTGCCAAATGGTTGGTGAATACAATACAACGCACACATGTACAACAGCAACACCAACAGGTGACAGGACATTCTGTTCCGTTACCATTTTGTTCCAATGCACTGGAAAAAAGCTGTTGATAATATTATAACATATATTATATATTAATACTAAAATTTTAGCTATTATAATAATATTATATTCATATTTATTTATTTAATTTTATATTGTTGATAACGGTCAAATTATTTTTAACATTTAAAATGGAAATACTTACAAAAATAATTATAAGAGTGAAATTCTTATTAATAGCTTACCTTGATTATACAAAATTGTACAGGTACATTATATTTTCAGTGCAGGGGTTGCTTATCCACCACTGCGTTGGTGGAGTGGGCAGCTGAACCGCTGCCGCCGCAGGGGGGTGGTGGTGAGTTGCAGTTTCAACTTGTTCCTGAGGGCTGTGGACGAGCCAACCTGACTCGCTTCGTTTATTCGTTCACCACTCGCGCTTGAATACGGACGTGTTCTCGGTTCGAAGTTGAATCACTACGGATCGGTCGTCTCGCTTCGCTTCGGTTGAAAGTTCAAAAACTCGTCAATTGACATAAATTGAGTGCAATTTGCAGTATGCGAAATGTGTGTCTAACTGAGCCAACGAATCACTAAATTCTTCGCCTAGTCGCGTGTTCAGCCCACTTCATTAAATTAATTAGAAAACCAAAAACAAATCGTATTCTGCATTCGATATGGCCGATGAAAGTCTACACACCGTGCCCCTAGAACATAACATAGACTATCATATCGTGACTTTGTTTGAGCGCCTGGAGGCGATGCGCAAGGATTCGTACGGCGGAGGCCACGGGGTCAATAATCGGTTATCCAGCACCATGCAGGCTCCCAAACGTAACATGCAAGCCGAGATTCGCGCCCTGGAGTTTTGGAGGTGAGTTTGACTTGTAGAAGAAGAATAATCCGTTATATTAAAGCTAATTACCAATATTCTTAATTTAAAAATGGGTTTTTTAACAATTCTTTTTAAAAACTTTTAATTTCGGAAAATGCATTTTTCCGCGTGTAAGTCTACTTCAAACCTTTTGTTTTCGTAGCCATTATCTCCACTTGCTTTCAATTTGCTCAACTTTAGATGGCAATTGTTGGATGTCATCTGGCTTTGTGTGAACTCTAAGTAATTGAAATCCAAGTGTTCTCCAGACGACATCATCAAGATAATCGCCAAACTAAACATAGGGCCAAGTTTCAAGCACTTTGTGGCTCATATCAAGTCCTTTGTTCAAGGAACTTGCAAGTAATTAACATTTCATCACGAGCTGATGGAGTTATTAAATCTTAGCCAGAAGCCAATGCCTGAGAATGTTTTTAAGGCATGTCGAGCGCAAAAATTCCAACTAAACTGCGCGACACTTTGTCTTAAAATCCCCACTCCCTCCTTTGGACTGACCATTAAAAAGAAACGTGTATTTAATGGATCAGAGGGGGAGTTGGGATGTATGTATATACATATACATAGTTCCAATTAAAGAGAAGCACGACTGCTAAATCAAACAGCTGAATTTATGAATTTATGGAAATCCATCAGCCCCTCGGTTTGTTTGATTTTTCGTTATCGTGCAGCGGACTCCGCTTTTTGAGTTTAATGCGAATCCGAGTGGCCTCACGTCCAGCGGGAATCGACTTGAATCGGCGGCATTGCAGCTGCTCATCGGTCCGCTTCCCGTTCTGAACACCACCCCCCCTATTTTTTACACCCTTTCCCCCACAAAAAACCCCGCCTCCTGCTTAATTGTCACTCCAATGCTTGAGGGCAACAAGAAAAAGCTTTGTGTGCAACTTGATTTGTGCAGTACAGTAAATAACAGCTAAGATGTCTTGGTTTCTTATATTGAACATATTTTTTAAAGGTATATTATAGTAATGTAATCAACGAAAATCCTTAAATAAATTAAGTTTTATAAACAATATATAAAAGAAAGATGGATTAACTGCCTGAATGCTTTTTTTTATGAAATATATATATCTTCTTAATTACCCATAACCCTCTTAACTAATAGTTACTGTACACACTCCGCATGAAGTCAGGAGAACCACATGCAAACGAAAATCCAGTTGCGGAACCATTCTAACCCAAGGCTCTTTCTCCTCATCCTTCATTTCAGATCCATCATCAGCGAGTGTCTGGCCTCGTTCATGTACGTGTTCATCGTCTGCGGTGCCGCCGCGGGCGTCGGAGTGGGTGCCAGTGTGTCGTCCGTGCTTTTGGCCACGGCGCTGGCCTCCGGACTGGCAATGGCAACACTGACGCAGTGCTTCCTTCACATCTCGGGTAAGTCAAAGGAGACAACAAACAACGGCCAGAAACATCAACAAAACAGGGCGACAAGTGTTTTTCGGGGGCCCTTGGACTTGCGTGGGAAACTCCCGTTTTCAAGGGAGACAAACACATACAATAACCAGAACCAGAACACGAACCCCATTCTTTGTTTGCTATATTTTCAAAAGGCAATGCACTCAGTTTGGCTCCACCTACTCCTACTCCACCTCCTCGGCATCTTATCGCCCCGGGCCAAGTCCCTCACTTATTTTCCCTTATTCCCTTGCATTTATTCTGGTATTTATGTATTTGTTCATTTGCGTTGACATTCAAGGCAATTAAACGTCTCCACAAAAAAGAGTAAGACCAAACTAATATATTGTATAGTGGGGGCAAAGAGAGCAATCTCATCCTTAGCGGGTCTTGAAACATATGTTCTTGATTTGCCTGCAACTCCCCCATTTTGTGGTTCGCAATTCCTCGCTTTTTCACAGCCAATTGGTTGAGCATTAAGTTATGATGTTATCTTCTTTGGCTGTCCCCACAGGGAATGCCTTCCGTAGAAGTGTCAAAGTGATATTTAACGGTTTTCCCCTTTTGGGTGGCCCCACAGCATTGCCTCAAGTATCTAAAGCTATTTCTCCCTTTCAGGCGCCCACATTAATCCCGCCGTAACCCTGGCCCTCTGCGTAGTGCGATCTATATCTCCGATCCGAGCTGCCATGTATATAACCGGCACAATGTGGCGGTGGTATCGCTGGAGCAGCCCTGCTTTATGGGTAAGTTATAAATCAACAAATCAAATCCTTTAGCTTTTAACTAATTCCCAACGTCAGTGACCTATTTTCGTGAAAGTAAAAGAGCAAAGACACAATCTGAATGTAGAAATTGGGATTGTAATAATTTAAATTAGTAGAATGGAAACAAAGTAGCATGTAAAAATTTTATATCTTAAAGGAATTTTGTAAATTATTAAATCAAATGATTAAGAATAACCATTGATAGTCGCAGTCGTCTATTATGCACATCAAAACCTTGCATGAAAAGCATTATTGCTGTTGACGACAGCTTGTCAAAGTCAATTAAATAGGAATTCATTTTAGATTTTCTGTCTGCAACAATGTACTTAAATCTGTATATGTATGTTTGTACGTCTGACCACAGCAATTACTGCATTATGCGAAGGACACACAGTGCACTCTGCATCTGCGTGTGGATTTGCCCAAAAAGCAAACTCAAGAGTCTCAAATTAAATCCAACAGTGTCTGGTCGTAAATCAAGGCGGAAAAGGTTGTTAGACAGGGACTGGCAGGGTGGCAGGACAACAGGATAAATCGGATAGAGACAGATGAAACGCACTTTTCGGGCGATGACTGTACAACAAGGACTCTTAACAGGAAGCGTGAAATGCGTAGAAATGGGAAATTCTATTAAAAGGAATGTGCAGGTAACCTAGGCACACACAGATAGACACAAACATAATACCCAATCACCTGCAGGAAAAAACGGGCGCAGGTAGCTAGGATTCTATCTGCTGGAGAAACATCTGCCCCTATGCTCCGATGTTTGCGCAGTGATTTCCCGCTTCCAAAACGAATTTCTTTGTGATGCCTAGATAAAGGACCAAGGCCCAAGGATCTACACGCACACTAGCTATCCGAAAATCTCTTGTCTGTCAGGGTTTTTCCTTTTGTAGCCAGAAAACGCAGGACGAAGGAAACGAAAGGAAAAAAGATCTGCGCCTGCGCACCATTTTTCAAATGTCGCTCCAGTTTTGTTTTTTTCGTTGAGCGTTGAACTCCTTTTCGTAGCAATGTTAATATTAATGCCTCTTCCCGATTGTCTGCTCGACATCTGTTTCGACCCTCCGATGAAGCCTCTTTTTAAGTGCGTTGGCATCTTTACTTTCTACAGATCCCCGTGCGGGAGAATCAGGAGGTGGACGAAGAGCAGGGAGGAGTTGCAAAGAAACATGTTTCAGCTGCTGCCACTGCGATCAGGTTCGGGTTTTTGGCTTTTTTGTACTCTCCTGATATGGATTTCTTAGGGTCCAACGAGTTCACGTTGTGTTTTAGTCGGAACATATGTTTCCCCTAAGAGATGACTTAAAAAAAAAATGACTCCTTCTCCACAGCTGCCTGTGTGCTGATTAATTGGTTTAGATTTGGCTTATATAGGTTATAGCTGGATCTGGCGATTTCGGAGAAATCGTTGTGATTTTATGATGGGTGTTAAAGTTAATTTTGTCTGTGATTTTGTTGAGCTTCGGGGTATCAAATGAAATGAATAGGACCCCTGACCCTTGGGCTCATTTTAATCATAATAAAAATATTTGTGTATTAATTGGATTAAAAACTTAATTGAGTAGAAGAAATAACCTTCCATATAAAGAGGCAATAAACTTAAAAATCCTTATTAAAAAATATATTTTTTCAGCATAATTTTATATACAAATTAAGGAGATTTTCTGCTATTTCGTCAGCCCGTACCTTGCTGCAAACGATGTGTGATAAAAAAAAAACCTTCACAAAAAATCTTCAACATTAGTTGAGACAATTCAAGTACTCCCCCGGGACTTGCCACTTCAGCTGCTCCTCCTGGCCCTTCCGTTGTCACATGTCACTTGGCACTTACCCTAATTGCGACGCATATGCCACATGTGGCCAAGTAGCATAAAATACCACTGAGCTGAGCTGAGATAAAATCCAGTATGAACTTCATTATCTTTCATAAAACAAAGAGAACGCTTAAAAACAATATTGCTATACTAGGAATAAGGAATATGCGGGGTAGGGGAGCGGACTTGAGTATCGATATCCGGCTCAAAAATATTTGAATAGTCTTAAGCTGCTCCTCGCATTTCAATGATTTCTTCCCGTTCTCGATTTTCATTTTTTTTTTTTTGTATTTTGGTTTTGAAGAACGCACGCCGAGCACGTTCCAAAAATGCGAGTAGCCTTTGAAAATGTCGAAAGATAAAAATCAGGTAGAGGCCGCCAAAGACCAGAGGACTGTAAAAGCAAAGAAACCAGAAAGCAGAAAAACATAATTAACATTTCCCTTCGGTTGGGGATGGGCCGCTACCATTGTCCAGGCTTAGGCTTCGGGGCTGCGCCTGTGCAGGATGCGTGGTGCGGAAACTTGAAATCAAACACGTGTCGCCGTAGTAGCCGCTTCTTCGGTCTTCGATCTGGTTGGTCATTCCAAAAGAGCAGCTGGAAAAAAATGCTCAGCGCACACCTGCTGCCTAAAAACACAAAATTACTGTTGCCGAGGATACACGAAGAAAAAACAGAAAACAGGATTTCGAAACGAACAAAATTTAAATTTTAAACAGCAAACAGAAACGAAACGAAATGGACAGCAGAAAGAGAGATCAAGGCATACACTGAGGGAAAAGAAAGTCAGTAGAATGCATTATTGGGTAGCTAATATAAACATTATTCGTTAAACCGTTTTAATTCGTATCTAGATTTTGTTAATGATGATTGGAAAGTTAAGGTAGAAATCCTTAACTCCATACTTACTGATTTCCATTTTATGCTGATATACAAATAATTTGAGATGCAGACTCTTAATAATATTGTCTTAGGAGTTGAAGTTATAATCCGAAACCTGTTGATTTTCAAAAAAAAGCTATAAAGTCTTTATCATTTATTCTCTCTGTGTGCCAGTTGCTGTGGACCTAGCCTGGAAATGCACTTCCTGGCGCAGAAGGGATGAAAATGTAGAAATCGAAATCGTAATCAATTCGTGTCACATGGGCAATTCAATTACTGAATCCGTTCGACAGTGCATTCCGTTCCCCTTTCATTATTTGCTACTTCTCCGGGTGGCTTATCGCACTTGGCTTGGAAATAGCATCCTGCCAATGTTTCCGGTTGCCCTCACTGCATCGACCTCATCCTCATTCCAATGTCGCACAGGTGGTCCAGTTATACAGTTATGTCGCTGACAGTCACACACACACACAACACCTGGGAGTTGGGGACAAAAGAGAGTTCATAGAAATTGCACTTTTATATTTGATGAACTCTCAATTCTTTTCAAATTGGGGTCAATCGTTATTGGCTGTAGAAAATGAAAGTTATTGGGATTTAATCTATTCTGTGAATTTAATCATTTTTGTATATTACGTTTGGCTCTTTTTGATTAGGTATGAACAAGTTTATGAAACATATTTTTTGCTTATGAAAAGTTACCAGTAAATTGTTTTTAAAAATCACAATAAATATGGGATGGGACATTGTATTGATTTGTCATAAACTAAAATGTTTATTTTGAAATAAATCAAGTGCGATGCAAAAATACATTGAGTGATTCCGTGGCATAATTTCATTTGACAGCAGCATCGAGAATTAAGTCCCACACCCATATACGCAGAAATTCCAGGGAGCCGGAAAGCTAACCACAAGCCAGACAAGACCAAAGGGCAAACCAAACCGAGAGTGTTGCAAATGGCACATGGCAATCCGCAGTTCGCAATCCGCAATCCACAATTCGCCTTTCACCCGGAAACGCGGTGGCCAGCAGAGCGAGAAAAAGGGCTAGGATTTGCCTCCACTTGGGGATAAGGATAACGATTCCGGTTCACAGTTCAAGTTTGCAGTTGCTTCAAAGCTGTTTCTTTTGGCATTTTTTATTCCGCAAACAATTTGCGCAGGAAGAGATCTGCTGAAAGGCTCTGAAGCCGCCCAACATTCCACCATTTCCGGCTACTTAGTTGCTTCCTCTCCTAGTGAGTGTTTGTTTATCCATGTGGATGAGTGGTTTTTGGTCACTCGTGCCCTGTGAAATTAGCACTTTATAGATTTATGAGCAAACAAGGGCCACTTTCAAGTCAGAGCAATGCAAAAAAAAAGTGTTCTTTCAAGGCGATCAAATTTTAATCAACATTCAGAAGCAGCTGTGAGTAGAACAAGGATTAGGGCCACTAAGCCGCCCCACAAAACGATGACGAATATAAACTCCCATTTCTTACCTCAAGCCCAACTGCAGCCGGATCTCAGAGCAATTTCCCATTGCCAGGCGTTCTATTTGCTGAAGTACTTTTAAGTGCATTCCGAAAGCATTTATTTCCGGATTTCCAAAGTGGGCGGAGGTGAAGTGTGGTTAAGAGGCATGCCAGGTGAAGGATTGCGGTATAGCTACGAAAATATTTACTCTGCTCGACATTGCAAAATGCTATCTTATGGAGCTGCCTGTGACAACAATCAAATTTTTTCGTACGCCATAATATATGAGAGGCTTTCGAAGAACTTTTGCAACTGCATTTGTAAACGAATTATCCGGTAGTTAAATTTACAAATAAATCTCAAAGATTCAAACTCATTTTGGCTGGAGGGGCTGGAGAACTTTGCCAACTTGGTAATTGAAACTTTGACAATCTAAATGATGTTGAGGCAGTTCATGTGTGAGCAGATTAATGGAGTTGATTGCTGTTGAAGGGGATGGATTGGAGGGTTGATACCGAAACTGTCAGACTAATAAATAATAAATGAAATAAATTGTGATTGGCTTTCAGTTCCACAAAAAAAAAACGTTGAACTCGAATCAATCAGATAGCGAAAATGTTTTTGCGGTTTTTGTTGAAAATAATATTTGTTTCCTGGCTGGACCAAAACCAGTTCATTATTAAACATACTCGTAACAACATAAATCTCTTTCACCGATTTCCAATTTCCTGAAGTTGAAAATTACTTTTTAAAGCCAAAATATGAAACAATTCTGGTGTATTTTGTACCAACTTAATATTGATTTTATAATCTCTCTCTCTTTTATAATACTCATTACCTTGTTTGTTTTATTTTGCAGCGTAACAGTGCCAGGATACCAGGGAAATCTTCAGGCCGCCATCTCACATAGCGCTGCTCTGGCTGCCTGGGAAAGGTTCGGAGTGGAATTCATCCTCACTTTTCTTGTGGTTCTGTGCTATTTCGTATCCACGGATCCCATGAAGAAGTTCATGGGCAATTCGGCCGCTTCGATTGGATGTGCTTACAGCGCCTGCTGCTTTGTGTCGGTAAGTTGACTTCACTTTACCCAAGTTTTATCCCAAGGCCCAAGAATGTCGGACAGAAATCTGAAAACCAGAACCCGCCAAAAACCGAAACCGAGCCGAAAACAAACAAACTGAAACGCACCTGCCGTCTCTGACTCTGTCATTTTGATGGTGCAAAATCGCAGCATGACAACGGACGAGATAAACTGGGTTCAGGTAGAGACCATAATCATTGTATGGTGGATGTTGGATGGTCGAGCGGGGATGGAGGAGATAATTAATTTAGCACACGGACTCCCAGGACTGGGACTGCATTGTTGGCATAACGGACAGTTTGTGGCGGCATTCAAAGGAGATGCCATGACTTGGCTAAGCTCAGCTCTTGAAGGGAAACCGATTAAAGTCAAGTTTATATCGACAGATTAAATTACGCATATTTTAAGGACCTGTTTAGTCAATATCTTAAATTCATTAAGAGTTAAGGGACTTATCTTTTAATGATAAAATATAGAAATTTATTTACCTTAAAGCTACTTAACTTTATAAACGGAATTTAAGAGTGATAACCAACATGGCCAATTAAATTCACTTTTATATTCTTGAAATTCCTCAAACAAGAGTAAACTATCCTCTGATATAAAATGTCTCCTGCATTGTTTAGTAACTTTTTCCACAAGTATCCTTTGATGGAAAATGCAAAGAATATTCCAAGGTAGAAGTTGGCATAAACGACATAAATGGCTTTGCCTGCTTACTTATGCAGCCCCTGAAATACTTTCCTAGTTTGTCAGACAACTAACCAAATCGCTTGTCCTTCTACTTTCAGATGCCCTACCTGAATCCAGCCCGCTCTCTGGGTCCTTCGTTTGTGCTTAACAAATGGGACAGCCACTGGGTGTACTGGTTCGGACCTCTGGTGGGCGGCATAGCCTCCGGTCTAGTGTACGAGTACATCTTTAACTCGCGCCGCAATCTGCGCCACACCAAGGGTAGCATGGACAACGACTCCAGCTCCATTCACTCGGAGGATGAGCTGAACTACGACATTGATATTGAGAAGCCCAACAAATACCAGCAATCCCAGGGAACTTACCAACGTGGACAGTCCAATGGCAATGGCGGAGGTCAGGCAGCCGGAAATGGTCAGCATCAACCTGCCAACATGGGTCAGATGACCGGAGTGGTGGCCAATGCCGGACAGGGCAACTACTGTCAGAATCTGTACACGGCTCCTCCGCTCTCCTCGAAGTACGAACAGCAGCAGGAGCCACTATATGGAGGAACCCGCTCCCTGTACTGCCGCTCGCCCACTCTGACCAGGAGCAACCTGAATCGTTCACAATCCGTCTATGCCAAGAGCAACACAGCAATCAACCGGGACATTGTACCACGTCCAGGACCTTTGGTGCCCGCCCAGAGTCTTTATCCTATGCGCACCCCAGCAGCAGCAACAACAACAACAGCAACAACAGGTTGCTCCTGCTCCTCAATCCTCTCATTTGCAAAACCAGAATGTTCAGAATCAGATGCAACAGCGCAGCGAGAGTATCTATGGAATGCGTGGTTCCATGCGAGGACAACAACAGCCGATCCAGCAGCAGCAGCAACAGCTCCAGCAGCAACCACCTAACATGGGAGTTCAGCAGCAACAGATGCAGCCACCTCCGCAAATGATGCCCGATCCCCAGCAGCAACCACAAGGTTTCCAGCCAGTCTACGGAACTCGTACAAACCCTACGCCGATGGACGGTAATCACAAGTATGACCGCCGTGACCCGCAGCAACTGTACAGCGTGACGGGACCAAGGAATCGCGGGCAATCGGCACAGTCTGATGACAGCTCCTATGGTTCATACCATGGATCAGCGGTAACACCGCCTGCTCGTCATCCCAGCGTGGAGCCATCACCTCCTCCACCACCCATGCTGATGTATGCCCCGCCTCCCCAGCCAAATGCAGCCCACCCGCAACCAATTCGCACCCAGTCAGAGAGGAAAGTGAGTGCTCCAGTGGTGGTATCTCAGCCGGCAGCATGTGCCGTGACCTATACAACATCGCAAGGACCGGCGGTGGCACCCCAACAGCAACAGCAGCAACAACAACAGCAACAGCAGCAGCAACAGCAGCAGCAGCAACAACAGCAGCAGCAGCAACAACAACAGATGATGATGCAACAACAGCAGCAACATTACGGCATGCTACCGATGAGGCCCAACTGAAAGCGGCTGTCATGGGGTCCGGTGACCACGCCGCCGCCAGGGATCCACGCCCTTGCCCTCCAACCCGGAGGCACCATGACCCTGCACCGCTGCAGCCTAGCCAAGCAGAGCAGTTTGTTTTAGTCGTAGTCGTAGTAGCATTCGGGCATCGCATCCAAAGGAAATCTACGCAAGTCTCAGCCCTTAGTCTAGCTTAGTCCTAGTTTAGATAGATGCAGCATAGCCACCACATTGTATTATTCAAAGCCAACGCGACGAGGAACTCTCACCTAGCAGCAGACAACGATGCGATCAAGCATAGAACATGTAGTGTTAAGGAACTAATAAAGGCAAATGTTTAATATACACTAAAAGCTAGACTAGAATAAATATCGGTGATCTAGACTGAAATATATAGATATTTACCTAAGATATTTTCTTTCAAAAAACCTCAATTGAAAATATTTATGTTTTCAATACTTTTTTTATCACATTTATTAAAAATCTTAACTTACATGGCCTAAGTCATAATTTTTAAACAAGTCCATGTTACAACTTTTTATTGTTTTGCCAAAATGTTTCTTTTGCTTCTTTTGTAAAACCAAAAAATAGACTGAATGACATTTATCTGCATTTATTATCCCACTTTTAGGCTGTATTTCAAAGATTATTTATCTTCCATTTTCCAAGAATTCACAAAGATTTTGTTTACCTCTCGATTTTAATTTGTATATAGCCCATATAGACTTGATATTAAGTATATGTAAGCTATTCTTGTATATGTTAGGAGCTTAAGCTTAAATTCGATACCAACTTATTATGCATGTACTAAAATAGTTGTATTTACTTAGTGATAAGAACGCTTGGTAATAGTTGTTAGCCTAAGTGGATAAGTGGATAATGCAAGTATAGAGATGTATTAAAATAAAGACAAGTTCAAACAATGCTAAGACTTATTATTTAAAAAAATTATATTGAATTGAAAAAAAATATATAAAACTAAAAATTTTTAACTATTAATTATTAAAATTTGGAGGAACTCATGGTGGCAACCTTTAAACCTTTTTGTGCTAAAAGTTGAGGTATATTTTAACAGAAATTGTATTAGTTCTGATGGGTATTACACATTTGATGACTGGCAACCCTGTCCAAAAATAAGTCTCAGTAGACAGGGTTGCCAGTGTTTTGCATTGTTGCTCCTAAGTCGAGTACAAAAAGTTGAAGTATTGACGGACCTCGGCCAGGGGAAAGTGAGGTAACATCTTCTTGACTTTCGCGAAATCGGTGCCATATAGCTCAAAGGCCTTTGAAAGTTGAATAAGATCCTGTGCTTTCCAGCGATGAAAACGGCTACCCCGAGCTGTCTCAATCCTCCCCAGACGTCGTCGGGCGATTGGCAGATCGAACCCGTTACTTCGCAGGATAAACAGTGCCTGCTCCTCCTCGATCCCGTAACAGCTGGCTGCAAAGTCTAGATATTCGCAAATATCCTTTTCGTCTTGTTCCAACAGCTGCGGCGACCACAGGATCGACGCTCGATGTTGCAGCTGTTTTAGATCGTTCTCTCGCTGACATGGTGGCACATAATCCGGTAAAGTGGCTGCCTGCCTGCGCCAATAACAAGAATCTCGCTTTTCTTTTCGGGAGGACATCCTTCGATCAAAGAAAATAAAAACAAATAAACTAGGTCAAGAGAGCAACGAAAGCAAAACATTTTAGTGTTGCAATATTTCTAATTTAAGTGTTGGTTACCGAAGCAAAGACACTGAAAAAAACAATTGCTTAAAGCTGTCAGCATACTCTTTTATGTTATAATAAGTCGTTTTTTAGTAGTGCGGTTTTATTTTATTTGTTGCTTAAAACAACTTTATTTAGTAAGAACAAAACAATCATACTAATCATTGATAATTGAAAAATATTCTGCGGCTGAAGGATCAGTTTTTACTCATAGTACATAGTTTTAAAAATATTCCTGTTTTTTGCTGTCTTTTATTTCTTAAATTTTATGAAACTATGAATGAATTAACACTAATAAAAAATATATATATACACACATATATATATATATATATATCGATATTTTTAAACGCAACCCAGGAATATAACGTAAGAAACATCAACATTTTCCATAAGGAAATTATATGTTTAAATGATAGATACAAAATTATAAGATATTACATTCTTGTTTGTAGTTTTTAAAAGAATTATGAAAATATCATTTGCCTCCCTAAAAATCTTCATATAAAGCCGAGTCCAAGTGACAACCCTCCATTCCCGGCTCCAAGCAGTTCTCCGAAGAAGAACTTAAGTTACCGTCTTCCTCTGGTTCGAGGTAGTTATTTCTTATTTCGTGACCAAGATATCTCTCCCAAAGGATTAGACCTACTGAACGCGGAGGTCCTTGAGCCCGCTCAGTATCGTAGACCAGCCAGTGGGAATGTTGTTGATCATAGAGTGAGTTAAGAAGGGTTGGCCAATAGATCGGTAAGCCCACCTTGGTCATCTTAATATGCAGATAATAGCCAAATTGCTTCACCGAATCCATCATTACCTCGCCTAATAGATTCAAAATGAATCGTTGAGGAGGAGCAGTCATAGTAACGTTATAGCGCAGGACATTTCCCTCTAGAATAAGATTATACTCTGGCACCTGCTGTTCAACTATTAGCACGATATGGGTTTGGGTCTGGTGCCATTTCACCCTGGGATGCACAGCATCTCCAGATTTTAAGGCACAGTGTAAGGACTGTGATACTATTTCCTTCAATGGATCTTGGGTAACAACTTCCACAGATTTTGTTAACTTTAAACCTATTGAATCGGACTTTCTATATGGAATAGCCTGGTTCTCTTCACCATGTACAAGATTGTGTAGAAATTGTTGCGTGTCCTGCTTCCTTGAAAGACTGGAAGTATTCAACTCATGAATTAATGCATTCACTAATGCTATAGAACTTTCTGTCGATTGATCAGTTTCGTCTTGTTTCCCTTTCATTGATTTTTCGTCATCATCCACAGATTCGAGTGTACCTTCATTTTCTTTAGTTACTTCATAATCTTCCAATTTATTTTTATCAGAGGACAGTTCTTGATTATCAATCTGATCAATTGGGAGTTCATTTACTGATCCTACGATTAAGTTTTCCTTTATATCCATCTCAGTACCTTTATTTATTGAACAAATGTGTTTTTTGTCTTGTAATGATGTCAGATCTTTCTTATGCCCCTCCAGGTCGATTTTCCCCTCTTCGAAGTCTATGGTTTCTTTCTTGGCTTCAAGCTCTTCCATTTCTTTATTTTGCTGCTCGTGCATAGCTAGCAGTTCTTGGAAGCGTGTGTCGTCTATTTCAGCGAATCCTTGACGAAGCAGTTCCTTGCGTAAAAAGGTTTTGTAGACACTAGTTAGCATGGTTTGGCACTCCTCTATCAAGGCGATTTCTTTGGCATATACAACATCCAAAACAGCAAAATCAACGGTTATCTGCATGAACTGGCCATCAAGAGTACCAAAGCTTTCCTTCACCCATTTGCAAGAATCCTCTGACCACTTGCCTTCTTCTCCTGCTGCTACCAATCCCGACAAACGAATATTCATAGCCAGAGGTGGCAGAACCCTGAACTTCTCGGGACATTTCAGCAACTGACTAGGCTTGACTTGCAGTAACTCAGTGCCATGATCCATAAATTGAACAGTAACTGGACGTTTCGAAGGTATGTCCACTATCTTCACCCTCCTCAAGTGATCTTTGTGCATCACAAAACAAACATCGTTAATCTTATATGGGTTATGTACCTCCTGTGTCATAGCCAAACTCATCTTAAGGACTAATGTCGACGGATTGGAAGGATATAGAACATCGGTCCAGCTGGTGGAATCTTTGGTCTTATACTTAATGGGCCAGACTGCCATGTGAACAGGGTCGTAAATTTGGTACAATTTGCAGTGGATTGTTGTTCCGGGTTTCTGAAGAGGAACTCCAAGGTTCCGAAAATCATTTATAATGTATTGATGACGCTTATCACACTGACTTCTATTGCAATTACCACTATTCAGTAGGTATGGACAGTAGGGAAGACTTTCATTAAATTTCTGATGATTGTAGGTCATAACTTGGAATATCGGGTCATTAGTAGCGATGCCGTGATCCTGGAGAAATTTCATTGTGCGTGTCCATTCCTTAAAGTTTCCCTCGTCCAGCATTAAATAGGTGACCAAGGCTTTAACGTTCTCCTTCGGTGTCGTAAAGATATTACTTATGTTGTCTGCCATAGTGTGGAATCGTCCAGCAAATGTAAGCCAGGAATCAGGTAAACTATAATGAATTAGCAGCTGGATGTTTCTGACAGGCAGCTGATCCCCGAGCAAATTGTCGCATGCCAACATAATTTCTGTCGATTCCTAAAATATAAATCTTTGAGATCTCAACTCAAAAGTAAATAAATAAAGCAAACAAAAGAACTCACCTTATTCTGTGCCTCTGAAACGGTCACACATCTATGCCCACCACCAGCTAAAACAGTTTTCAGATTCTCCAGCTCTATTTGGCTTTTGCAAAAGATCAGTGAGCGCTTCCCCTGACCTTTCTGTGCCATTAGGATGTCTAGAAGATGTTTTGTCTTTAAGGCGGAATTTCGTAGTATGAATTTCAATGTAAGACCGCCGTATAGTGCTGCCTTAAAAAAATCTCCGAATAGTATCAGCGGCTTCATTGTACGCTTAAGGAGCTTCTTAAATTTATCTGAATGCCATTGCTGAGATACCAAGACAGTCTGCATCGTTAGACAACCCATACCATCAACGCTTTGCAATAAATCGTCCAGAAGTTGCGGTTTTGCCATTCGCATGCGATCAAAGTCATCAAAGACTAAAAAGATCAATCTATTGGGATCCACAAGGTTCAATTCATTGTCCAATATCTCCAATAAATGAACCATTGTTGTCACTAAAACTCCGCATGAGTTAAGCAATATCAAGTACAGGTCCATCATAGAATGAGCTTTGTGTATTGACCACCTTCAGGTGTTGGGTCTCATAGTCCCTCATCAAGAAGTCGCACTGGGAAGTCAAGTTTTTGGCATTCTCTACAGAATCCACTACTATTATGGCCAGAGGGCCCGGGGCAATGCGATCCCCAAGGGTTATGGGGGCACTTTGCATAGAATGCAACACTAAAGAACAGAGGACGGGTAGATAGCTCCAGGTGCGTCCCGTTCCCGAGTTATTCACCAGCACCATGGATCCGCCATGTACGAGATGCGGCCATGCATACCTTTGAGTCGGCAGGGGGTGTGGAAGTTCAATGTATTCATGTTCGTTTGGAACCTCCTTGCATAAAGGTAATTCCTTGTAACTGAAGATAGGATCCACTGGCTGGGTACTGTGGGCCAGCACCGAATTTTTCAATAAAGGCTTTTGCGATTTGATTATCGTTGACTGGCCTGAATTTATGGCCCAAATCTCTTGTTAGTGGAGGGACATAAGTATTCGATTTTTGGTTTCCACTTCGCGACATAAAATTGCCGGATGTTTTCTGTCTAACCATAGTATTAAATATCTGATCAAGTTTATCCATGGAAAAGGATACTGTTTGTGAATTTGAAGGGATAGTTTTATTCTCATGTAAAGGTCTAGACGAGGAAGTTTTCATTTTATGGACTAATGATTTTAACATCACTGGAGTAGGCTCAACAGTTGGTTTTGGTAATTTCTCCGATTCACTTATATTTAAGCACAAAGACTTATGTGGTGATAAAGGGAATACATCAGTTAAGAGCTCTGATGTCTCAGATGATGTTACCAGTTTCGTATCCTTTATAACAACAGGTTTCGGCTGACCAGAAACGCATCTATGATTTTCTTCTTCTGGTACTTTATTCGTTGGTGCTAGCTTTAGCTTAGATAAACAATTTGACAGATTCTCAGATTCTACGGATTTGATTTCCAGGTTCCCTTTAATTGGCGTTTCTTGTCCAACTTGTTTTGACTTGTTAAAAAGAGCAGTTTGCACGGAACTGTCGTTGATACTATTAATCTTGCTGAGGACTTTTCCGGTCTTCGGGATAATGCATTGCTCACGATTCTTCAATAACGGCATCTAGCTTATGGTGCTGAGTAACTGGTTGTTTTAATCCCGAAATCTTATCACCCTGACATATCAATGTTTAAAGGGTTATCTTTTCTGGTAAGTTCTTCCGACATGGACTTAACAGCGAACTGCAGTCGTTGATAGTTTTGAGAGGACGGTTTACCACCTACTAGTTCGATTAGGGTTCTGATGCGAGGGCGTGCTTTTATCGCCAAGTCGTTGATCTCAGTCATTTCATCGAATGAGCTGTCCTTTAACATGGTCAAAGCCTTATTGTGTCGAGCATGACCTTCCTCTACTAGAAAATTAGCAGCATTTACAGAGTGGCTAAATGATCGCAACATAAGCTGGCCATAATTTCGGTTTTCTGCGCTTTGGTATAAGACTTTAAATGTGATTTGGATCCCTTCATCAAGCTGCTTATCAAAGGATGCTATGGCGTCTTGGGTCCAGCAGCTACCAAAAAAGGGAATAATAAACGCCACGCCACCCTTTTTGATGTCCCAGAAGTTGTGTTTTAACTGATTAGGAAGCGACCAGATATCCCGCACAGAACACCACAAAGTAAATCCGTAATCTTGCATCCAAACTAGGTACATATCGCCCCTACGCCTCCGCACCACACCTCTCATCAGCTTGGGGGGACTCCAAGGCAAATAGCGCACGAACACTGCCTCATCCTTATGATAGAATTTCTTTGATTTCTCCCTAATGCAGCAATCTAGTAAAGCCCGCTCAATTTGGCGGACCAGCATTGCGGAGTCCTGTACATCTTTGTATTTAACATAGCTGAATTTCTGGGGATTCACAAAATGCGTTATCAAAATTGTTTCTCCATGGTCAGGATCAAGATGGTTCTTCATTTTACCTATGTGTGGATCGGAAAAATGAATTTGTTTAAATTATAGGTAATAAAATAATTCAGTAGTTTAGATCTCTAGGATTTCTAAATTATATGTCTTAAACGTTGTTTGAGTATTTTTATTCCCGTTACTCGTAGAGTAAAAGGGTATACTAGATTCGTTGAAAGGTATGTAACAGATAGAATAAAGCGTTTCCGACCCTATAAAGTATATATATTCTTGATCAGGATCAATAGCGAAGTCTATTGAGCCATGTCCGTCTGTCCGTCCGTCCGTCCGTATGAACGCTGAGATCTCAAGAACTATAAGAGATACAAAGTTGAGATAAACCATGAAAATTTTTGAGGTCCCTACGCAGCGCAAGTTTATTCGTTTGACCTTGTATAACAAATTTTTGTCAATATCTATCGATCTACCAAAGATTTTTCATCGTAGCATTATTTCGTTATTTATGAAGAAGGCCTCACATGGGCAGTGATGCACTATCAGTTACTCAACATGCTTTCTCCGACAATAGGTGGCGCTTGGGGAATTTCAACTAGCAAAATTAATATTTTAAAATTGTGTAAAACAGCGGCACTCGACTATAGCGTTTCCTTTTTTTTTCTAATTTTCTTGAATAGTCCAAGTTTTAAAATCTATTTGTTTGGTGAGATATGTCTTTCAAAAAGACTCAAGTAAGTTCGATTTCTTGTTATACATATATACATATATACATATATATTTGTACTTATTAGGTGTTAGCTTTAGCTAAAAAAAGTGGCCTGCTTAAATCAACTTGAGCTTTAAGTCCGCTTATATTTTCCCTGTGCACTCATGTGGAAATTGCTGCGATTTCCACGCGTCAGAAACTTTGCCCAAAGCGAGCCAAAAATTGTGAAGCCAGCCACAGGATTAAATTTGTGGCTTCGGATTGTGATTTAGTAGGGAGTAAATTAGCTAATTTAAGTTTGGGGGAAAGCGAAAGCAAATGCGGCAAATACGCCGGCAACTGCAGCTTCCAAATGGCAAAACAAAGCAACTGGCTAAGCCGCAAGTAAGGAGGTCCTTGTGCCTATTTGCTGTTTGTTTGCGCTGCACTAGATCCTGCTGCAGTGACTCAGCCCCCCTTTTTTACATCCCTGGGCTGTGGTAAGTGGTGCTCCACAATCGGCAGTGGCGCGTGCTCCAAGTTGTTGTTTTATCAACACTTTAAAAGCCCTACTCTTACACAAACGCAAGGCAATTGCTTTACATTATTTGAATTAATTTAGCATGTGTCCTAGTAAGTAGGGGATTATTCGTCGGAGCAATTGGTTTAATGCGATAATAATCTCAAACCACCCTAAATTATTTCTCGAAAAAAAAGTGGTTATCATAAAAAATCAATGAATAATAGAGCCATTGTATATGTATGTATGTAAATCGGATCAGGAATCGATCGAACAAACCTTTTCAGACTCAGAGCTAAGAGTGAGTTAGTGAGATTTGTAGATATATTGGAAATACTCACTTTGATTTTTATTTTCGTCCATCTTTTAGGAATAGTAAAAATAATTGAATGCTTGAAAATACGAAAAAGAAAAAATCTGTAAAGAAAACGAAATCGAGTAAATAACAGCTCAGATCGGAAGATAAATTAAAATTAATTATTAGATATAATTAATATATTATCGTAAATGGGGATTATGAGGAAACTGTAAAGATGTAAACATCCATCTGATTCCAATAGGCTCACGCTTTTAATTCTCAAACAAGAGTGAGACAGACTCACTTGGACAAAGAGAACCTTTTTTTAAAGCGTCAGCGTAAATTAGATTGCTGTAAACAAACTCTGTGAAGATCTTTAGATTTGAGTCACTTTCGGTTTAAACAGAAAAAACAAACAGTAATTTATTTACATATGTAATTACATATACGTATATATGTACATAAGTATTCACATAATGTAAGTATATAAGTAATATATATACATTGTTATCATTTTAACATATCACCGCTAAGAAAAATTTTAATTTTTCGTTCAATTGCACTGTACATCTTTTAAGACTAACACTAATCATGCACTTTTACTTATTAATAAAATGCTACGCTTCATAAATTTTCCCATATATGCGTACTTAGATCGTGGAGCTAATAATATTAAATAGTATTTATCGTCAATACATACATACAAACATATGCATGTATGTATAGAGAATTTGCAACGCTTTTTAGGAACTACAAAATTGAACTTCCTTTGAAAAATGTATCGAAATCACTTAGTGCTGATAATAAGTTCGATATCTGGCCTTATCGAATATAAATTACTCATCAATAAGGATTCAAACCAATTAAATATGATAATTTCAAATTGAGACATACATACTCAAAAAACTCTCAATAAGCAACTACAATAAGCTCTCTACCATTATCAGACCGACATTATCATATATATGTACACCCTCGTGACAACTAACAGAATTAGCGAAACTTATATTTTCCCCTATAATAGATGGCAATCTGTAGCCGATAAATCCTTTTCACCCATCTCAAGCCTGCTAATTACAAAACAAAACGTTAGCCATTATTCAACCCAAAAGTACGGTTTCTTTTCCTAGCATAAATGCAACTTTTTACCCCTTTATCAAACATTTTCCCTTTTTGCTCTTTGTTTGGCAGGCACCAGAACGCTCATAAAAGTTCGGTAGAGCAGGGTTGTCGCATTACCCCCGCAACCCCTGCAGCATTGCTTTTTATTCCATTTTTATTTGATTGTTTCATATTTATGAGGATTATATGGTTCAGTGTTGAATACCAGACGAAAATGGAGGTGGGAGTGGACGTGTGGTAATTTATTTTGCGGCTTAGAGCGGCACTTTATTTATCTTGACATGCGGTTAAGTGAAAGTATCTTCGGCTTTTGGGCTTACAAATATTTAAAAAATAATATAGGTCGCACCATTTTAAATTATGAACTAATTTTAAAACCCTTTATATCTTAATAAGTTTTATATTTCTATTATTAAGTTTTCAAATTGTTATTTCAATTCTTTTGTTAATTTTTTTAGATATTCTTAGTTAAACAAATTCCAAAAATCAATTTTTCTATCACTATTTAGGTCGGCTTATAAGCTGTGCATTTGAAAAATGTTATATACATTATATATATATATGTATTATGTATATATATATATATATGCAACTTGTGTAATACATATCCCAATAAAACTTTAGGTTTTTATGTTTGTAATGCTAGTACTAAAATAAATTTATTAAGAAATTTGAAAATAACAATTATAACACAAAAATGTTTTTTATGTTTTAATTTATTTTATTGATTATATGTTGTATAATATAATATAAAATAATTTAATCAAAAATGAACTAGTTCATTTTGACTTTAAAAAGTTACCTATAAATACAATGAGAAGTAAAAATACCATTTCAGAAGCATATCTAGAAGCATATATATTTTATTTTAAAAGATCGAACATATTTTATTGGTAGCAAATAAGAATAAAATTCGTATTGATTTATACATTTTAGACGCATTGGCAGCCTTTTTGTGTGACGTGACAACGGGGGAATTTCCAACACTAGCCGATAGCCTGCCAAAATGGCGCCTGCCTAATATCGTATTCTCCGAGCAAATACTATCGGTCCGGCAGCGCATCACACACACAAAGCGAAAAAAAAGAAAATACGGGTGGCCTGCAAGCGAATATCTTTGAAATTCACTGGACCCCAACGCTGAGAATTGTTCTCCGATAAAGTATATTTTTAACTCGTGTGCTCCGTCCGCCTAAGCCAGCAAAATAACCAAGTTCAACATACGCCTGGACAACATAATGTCGAAGAACAAAAAACTGTCGCTGTCAGGCGGCGATACGGCGGAGAAATTTATTTACAAACCCAAGGATCTGATATGGTAAGCCAGGACGAAGGACCCGCCAAGAGTTAGGTGCATTCCTAGTTTTTCTCTGCCTCAAAAAAAGAAAATCAAAGCAAACACATAACCTCAATGGCGCACGGTTGGCGCTCCAAAAAAGCAGGAAAAAGAGCAGTGAAGTGTGCATAAAAAAGCAATTAGCGCTGGTTTTTCGACCGCCACGCAGGGCATTATCCGTGGAGTTTTACCCAATTTGAAGTGATTCTCGAGTTACAACGAGTAAATTCCGGGCTGCGACGTCGACGTCTCTCTGCGTTGGCGCTTTTTCGCGCGCGCGCCCTTTTTTTATTTTCTAAGCGGCTATAAGACCAAATATGAATTTTCCTAGTCCCCAAAAGAGTTTTCCTAATAGCATTGTTTTTTCCATTATTTTCAGGGCCAAAATGAAGGGCTTCACTCCGTGGCCGGGAATGGTAAGCTCTAGCCCTAGCAATCAGCGATCGGAATGTTTACGCTGCGTCGACGTCGCGTCGCTGCCGTCTCCTCTGCTGCCATGTTGTTGTGTTTGTTTTCGACTGTACTTTTCGATTCAACGCTGCCGGCGTCGCTGTTGCCGCGCTGCCAAGAGCCACGCACTTGCACAATTTGCTCTGTAGTTGCTACCGGCGGAGGCCTGGAAATTGTAATTTTTGGAGCCCGCTATCGGAGGCTAGCTAGCTGTAGCTTTGGATCGTGTACAGCCGCAACAAGCTAGCATGTGCGTGTGGGTTGGAGGAGGGGGAGTGACGGGCATGGATGTTGGACACGCGTTGCCAAGGATATCTTCCGAGTTCAATTTCACTTGGTGGAAAAGTTCACTCTCTTATCTTTTATCTGTTAATCTTGTGATTTATAAAAGTGACTAAATGTGTTAAATCAAATTTATTTTATCTTAAAGGTAAATTAGTGAATTTATAAAAATCTGTGAAGTTTTTGAAGTTATTTTGTTAAAATATGGGACTTAATCTCCTTAAATCACGTCTTATAAATTCTTATTTATAAAAATATTTTTTCCCTAAGGGTATATCGTGAAATAAGTATTCTTATTGTGTATTTTTATTTTATACCAATTGGGTATCAGTTTAAGTTACGAGATATATAATTACTTAAATTGAAAACAAGTAATAACCTTAAAATGTCATTAGCTAGTGAACTTCTGAGATTAAAATCAGTTTTGTATGTTTTTAATAGTGAGTTCTAATCAATAATTATATCCTCAGATTGTCGATCCTCCTCTTGATCTGCTTAGCCAGCAACGCCGGGCGAATACCAAATGCGTGTTCTTCTTCGGATCTAGGAATTTGTAAGTAAAAAGTAGAGGCTGGAAGAAAAAAAAACTAAAGAAATAATTTGTGTATTATTAACAGTGCCTGGATTGAAGAGAATAACATCAAGCCCTTCGAAGGTCCGTGGAAGGATGAACTGGCCAAGGTGAGCAAACCTGCTGCTTTTCGACACGCCATGACGGATATCGAAAAGTATATTGACGACCCTGCCGAGGTGGACGAGCAAGTCAACAAAAGCTGCGGGGCCCCAAATCACGCCACTGAAGCCGATTTCGACAAAATCCGCGATGGTCTAGACACTGAGGAGAATGTGGTAGACGAGACAGTTGGCGATGGCAATAATGGTGTAGTAGCCCATGTGGTCGGCAGCCCTGATGAGGGCGAGGGATTGGATGGGGAAATTAATGCAGATTCCTCAGAGTCACCCGCGACGACGCCGGCGGCCACAACAAAAGCAGGGAGGCAAGCGGACGCCGAAGGCTAAGTCCGTGGCGGCCGCTTCGGTTAAGTCGACTAAGGGATCGGCTACCAAATCAGCACAGAAACGGCGTACCTCTTCTCACCAGACGCCCAGTGGCACATCGAATGCCAAGCGTGGTAGGAGAGCTGCCTCTGGGGATGCTGCGCAGGATTTGGATGGTGCCGGTTCTACGCCCACGGCTAGACGACGTGTTGAGACTGACGCACTACTGGCCTCACTGGCGGCCAAGCGGGCACCGAAATGCAATTGCTCTGCTTGATCGTCCGGTCGTCACGCGACCAGAGACGCAAGTTATTGACATGACCTCGCGCTCCAACACTCTGGCCGATCGGGAAATTGTGCCCTCAGAGCAGACTTTCGGATTCCTGGGTCTTGGCATGATGGGATCGACAATAGTCAAGGACTTGATTTACACGGGTCACAAAGTTGTGGTTTGGAACCGCACTATCGACAAGGTTAGTGTCCTATGCAGTACATTTTTATAGTCAAATCTAATAAAAATTACCGTTTTGTAGTGCCAACCCTTTGCGGAGGCCGGTGCTGAGGTTAAAGACACTCCTATGGATGTGGTGGAGGCTGCCGACGTTATCTTCTGCTGTGTGTCAGATCCCAAGGGCGCCAAGGATGTAAGTAATAAATGCATATATTGATTTTGAGAAGCATTCATAAAAATATGTTATGGGATGCATTGAGTTTAATATGTTCATTATGTCATTTTTACATTTATAAAATAGTTTCCCATTAAACCAGTTGGGGTATAAAAATTTAAATAAATTGCATAGATAATACATTAAGCAAATACTTATTTAAATATTTAAAGCTCTTCAAATTGATTTATGTTCTCAATAGGTGTCAGCACAAAATTTTATTTACGTTCCCATTTTACATTGATGTTGTTGATTGTATAAATTTAAAATAAATTAGAATACAAAGAATGTGGATATAAAATATGTAGGGATAAGGTCGAGAAAACCTTGGACCTGATTTTTAATTCGAATTAATATACTTGTCTCTATTATCAGCTCGTTTTTGGCAACTGTGGCGTTCTACAGATAAAGGATTTAAACAATAAGGCTTACGTGGAAATGTCTACCATTGATCCGGACACTTCGCTGGATATTGGTGAGGGTATCAAGCAGTGCAACGGTCGCTATCTAGAGGCACAAATTCACGGCTCGCGTCAAGAGGCAGCGGATGGCATGCTCATTATCCTTGCCGGAGGCGATCGCTCAGTGTTCGAGGAGTGCCACTCGTGCTTCAAGACTATCGCAAAGAACACATTCTTTTTAGGGAGTAAGTACAGCGTAATCGTCAATACTTTCCACAAAACAATTTATTAAATTTATCTTTTGTTCACATCTAGCAGATATCGGCAATGCCTGTAAAGTAAATCTAATTTTGCAAACTATTATGGGTGTGAGTCTGGTCGGGTTAGCTGAGGCGTTAGCACTTGGTAGGTTTGCTATTATATATTATATTTTTATAGTTTTCTAATTAATCTTTTATATTACCTTCGCAGCTGATCGTTTTTCAATTTCTTTGAACGACATTATAGACATTTTTGATTTGACTTCAATGAAATCACCAATGCTACTGGCGAAGGGCAAAGGTATGATTTTGAAAAAAAAAACGATTCTTCGTTTAAGATTTCTTTTTTAAGTCTTTGAAAAATAGAAATATTATTTTCTAATGTCTTGTTACTACCTTTCAGAAATGGCCAAAGGCGACTTTAATCCACAACAACCTTTAAGCCACATGCAACGAGACTTGCGTTTGGTGCTAAACATGGCAGAGAATCTAGATCAGTCTATGCCTGTCACCAGCATTACCAATGAGGTGTTCAAGCACACTAAACGCTTGGGCTACAGTGAACACGATTCGAGCGCCGTATTTGTAAGATCCAGATTTTAACATTTAGTTAACACGACTAACGTTTAAACTATGTTTTATCATTTAGTTTAAAGCGTGTACCGAACAGAACAGAACCGACACTGACAAAAACACAAAACACAAACAATAACAGAAACGCATAACCTTCACTTATCCACCCACCAACCCAAACTGACAGAGGCGTTCGATCGCAAGGAATACTTTGGTAAAATAATATAATAATAATTACCTTTGTATGCTCTTGCGATTGGTATCGTCATCCTAACCTTTTGCATACTTCCCAAAACCCCAACATACGAAGCGTTAATTGCAAAATGGGCTAACAGATTCGCTTTGAATCGACGACCAAATCTTCCTGGTCGACCTGCTTAAAACGCAGGCAGAAGCCAATGAAGTGTCCTAGGGAAGTGTGTTCAAGAAAGCTGATAAATGAACAACACAATCTTTCGGAACTACTTTAATGAATTGTGCATTATACGACTTTAGAGTGTTTTATTGTATTTTTTGACGGGTGAAACGCAATCCCAGAGAGGAGGAAGGGCAGGGCGCCGTGTTTCCAATTTTTATGTATGTAAGGTGTTTTTTCCAAAATATCATTTTACGTATGTGCATGCATAAATTGTAAATGTATAGAATACTGCATCCGAATAAAATGTACAAAGCATACTGAAACACAACTCTGATTGTAGAATATCAAAAGAAGCATGGACCTTTTAGGCTTATCTACCCGACCTCCCCTTTTTTGTTGTGCATTTACTCCAATCTTATATTTTCATGTATACATTTACACATTTTTACTAAGAATAAAAAGTAAGCTAAACGATCATACAGAGTAAAATTGCAAAGAAAAATATATAATGTGGCGGTAATGATAGATTGGTTTAGTTGTAGTTCCCTTCTCATACAACAAACAAGACACAAACTGACATGGGAAATTAAACAAAACAACAACAGAAACAAAAACTACAACAACCGAAAGCAAACAAAATAGCATAAACTTTGATCGACCCATTGGCGAGGGTCATTATTAATAATAATAATAAGAATATATAATAAATAATATATTTTACTTATTATTTAGTCTGTATTTTGTTGTAAAACAAAGATTAATAAAAAGATAATTTTAATAGAGGATGTAAGGAAATTAAATTGTTTGAGTTTACATTGAAATCTTGACATTTTTCTCGATATAGAAATTAGTTGTGATATATCGGGGTATATTTATGAAAAATGTGACTGCAATCAAACTATTTTTTAATTGTATTTACTTGCCTAAAATAAATGAGAATATGAATGTATCATAGTTATTGGTATTAAGTATTGAAAATGAATATTTTAAAGGTTTAAAAACGTTCAGGGATTTTCTAATTGGAGCAGAAATTTTTAGAGCAATCAATAAAACCAAATGTTCAATTATCGCCTTCACTTTTTCAGGATTTAAGAGCAAGAAAAACTTTCAAACTTTAAAAACACATTTAATAAAAATTAATATTTCAAAGCGAAAATAATTAAATTAAATTTATAAATTAATAGTAGTTGTTAAAAGAGTGGCAACAATTTATACGAAATGGTGAAAAAGCGGTTTTTTGGATTGGGGTAGTAACAAAATATTTGATTTATTTATTAAGGATTTAATTTGGCTTCGGACATATTGGGCAAATTTTTTTGAAAAGCCAGCAGTTAGTGATGTCTCAATGTTCGTACTAATTTTAGCCGCTGAACTGAAAATCTGTTATCAGCAATGTTTCATTACCACCGCAACGGTTGAATTCAACAATTTTTGTTTTTTCTCCGGGTGTTTTGGGGCTAGTGCGTTTTTTTCCCCGAAATTATCGAAATATTCGTGTTGCTGGAAACATCGATAGTATTTAATAAACATCGTTTTTGTCCCACCTCTACCGTGGATGTTTATTGTGGTGCGTGTGTGGCAGAATTATTATCAAAAATACTGAAACAATCAATTTAAAGTCAACAGATCGTCACACGTGATTTAATATGTCGGAAAAGAAGCGAACCCGTCGCCGTAAGGATGTAAGTGCTATTCTTTCCTTCAAGAGGACAGAATCAATGGGGTGCGCGTGTGTGGGTGCCACAGTCCAATTGGCATGCCGAATGTGTTTGTTTTTTGTTTTGATAAAAAGAAAAAAACTTGAATTGGCAGAAAAAAGACAATCAAAACGAAATGCTGATATGCAAGATCTTACGGGGGCCATTCACGATTACTTGTGGGGGGCAAGTTCAATGCTGTTTCTCTTCTGTATTGAACTACCCCGTATGTTGCCCCCCGCCTGCATAGGTCTATAATTAGCTGATTGTGGAAAATGTCTCCACTGCGTATTAGCACGGTCTGGATATTCGGGTTACATATGTATTTACTTTTCAGTCAATTAACTCGGGCCTACAATTCAAACAGCTGAGCTTGTAAGCTTTGATTATCTGGCAACCCTGTAAGCTTGTCTTGTAAGCCGATCTTACTCTTTTGCTCTCTCTCTCTCGCTCTCTCATTACCAACACATGTCAGGTGCAGTCCCACTTATCAGCTGCTCTGCTTGTTGTTGTTATTGGGGAAAGTTTGAGTACGCGTATATATTGTTCACAGGCGGGTACCAAAGGGGATTACTGATCGTGGGCCCCCACAAAGTATTAAAAATAAATATGTAATATCTAAAACCGCTTAAAAGTCTTTGTTTAAAAAGTTAAAAATTTAAATTATAGAAACCAAAACCCCATTTATTGTATGTTAATATCAGCCTCTGGTACTATCCATGTGCTGCTGTAAGCGTGTGTCTGTTTGTTGTGGTGATCGCCAGCTCGTTTGACCAGAGTCAAGACTCAATACTTTCTAGACTCTGGGAGCGAGTGCAACACGTCACGGCCAAGAAAAACTACTGCCGATTCCAGGCTATTTTTTTTAATTATTAAGATCGCAGTTTTTAAGAATCGACGCACAAAATGAGCGGAGCGGAGGAGTATTTCGAAGAGGAGGAGGAGCAGGAGATTTTTGACGATGGCACGGTATTTAGAAAAAAGACCACGTATAATAAAGCCATCTCAATGGCTTGAGGGTGACGAATACAAAATTGGTGTCGTGGCCTATATTCGCCTATAGACCCAGATTAAACAAATCAATCGTGAAAGTGAGTTTCTGACCTAATTTTCGGTTTTTTATTTTTTTTCAACAGGAGTACACCGAACCGGGTGTCCAGAAGGTAGAAAAACCCTCTAAGGACGAAAAGAATGTGGCCAAGTGGTTAAAGCAGAATGTGAAGACGAAGAAGACCAAGTTCCTGAATCACATTGTTGAGTACTTTACCTCCAGCAGGGCTATTGATGCTCTGCTGAAATCCAAATTCGCCGAGGGCAATAGCCCGCTATTCACCACCAGGGAACAGGTGATCGAGTTTTTGGACGTGATGCTGGAACACAAGTTCTTCCATCGCGCCAAGAAGGTGCCGGTCACGTTGGAGGAGATCAGGGGAAGGTCCGGTGGCGACAAGAAAGGCGACAAGGAAAAGAACCAAGACAAAGAGAAGGACAAGGCCAAGGCTGAAAAGAAGGATTCCGAACCGGAAGCTGAAAATGGACAAGGCGACGGAGGAGCTTCTGGTAACGAAAAGGAAAAGGAGAAAAAGGAAAAGAAGAAGCGCAAGATCCGACTAGACATGCACCCCGAGCAGATCTTTGTGGACGGATCCGAGGCATACGTTTGGATTTACGATCCCATTCCGCTTCACTACTGGATATTCGGCTTCATCCTGCTCCTGGGTGCCGTAGGAATCTGCCTGTTCCCCCTTTGGCCACCAATGCTACGCAAGGGTGTCTACTACCTGTCCGTTGCTGCGGCTGGCTTCCTTGTCTTCATTCTAGCTCTAACCCTTTTGCGTCTTATTGTATTTGTCATTGTGTGGGGATTGAGTGGCGGCAAGTTGCACTTCTGGATCTTTCCCAATCTGACCGAGGACGTGGGCTTCTTCGCCTCCTTCTGGCCGCTATATGAGGTTAGTTTTGGAATGATTATCCATTTATTGTCAGCTTAATCCCTTTTTTCTTTCTTAATAGAGCAACTTTACCAGTGACGCAAATAAAACAAAGACCGACAAGAAATCAAAATCAAAGGACAAGAAAAAGGATAAGGACAGTGATGCAGAGGACACTGCTGTAGACGCGGATGGAGATGCTGATGGTGACGGTGATGTAGATGCAGAGGTCTCAACACTTGAGCCAGAAAAAATCGAGCTCATCAAAGAACATGACACTGATAGAGAGATCCGTAAACGACGCAAAGTTGGAGCCGATGAGTATGAGGAGGACGATGTGGAGGAAGAGGAGCCGCAGGTGCAACCCAAGGATTCCAAAGCAGGGTAAGAAGGATATGACGAGGATTTCTGCTTTATTGCTCGAATTTTTATTTATGATTTGTTTTACGTCCGCCGATCTTTTTTATTGTTTTTTTTATAAAAAGAAACAATATTGAATAGTGCAAGATAAATTCATTAACTCTAGCTTTTAATTGTAAAACTTATTTGTTCCTTAATAAATAATATTGTATGATCCATTAACCCTATTTTTCGTTTGCGTTCATAACAGTTTTATTTTATTTACGGAGCATGTCATTTGTAAATACATTTGTTTCGTGATTTGTGGAGGCTCATTTTATTGGTAGATGGTTCTTATTGGTGATTTTGTTACTGGAACATAAAAGTTTATAAAGGGTGATGTTCACATTGGTTATGATGTAAATACAAATAAAAATCGTACGATTTCGCATCAAAGCTTAATGCAAAGTAAGTTTGGCATCCCATACAATTGGTATAACATCCATTCATGAAATACTTCTGAATCATATTTAATTTTTATGAATTTACATATATTTTTAATAATTCTGAATCATATTTGCTTACAGAACGCCACGCAACTCGGGATCCGATTCGGAGAGCTCGAGTAAAGATTATGAGATAATCAGTTCAAGTGAAGTGCAAAACGTTGCTGGCAACTAAGATGAAGAAACCACAATATATATTAATATTTAATGATCCACATCTAGCTAATTGATAAGACATAGAACAAGAATCACACATCAAGTACATCAGCACATACACGATTCCAAGTACAGCGAACTATTGTCCCCTCCCAAAAAAAAAAAACTACGATCGAAGTCGTAATTTTCTATCGATAATTTCCTAATCCATTTAAATTTCACTTCACTTTGAAGTTTTCCATGGATTATATATTTGGAAGTAGGCGTGCATACACGAAACTAAACATTTCCTAATTGCAATATTATGTTGAACCAGAGAATTTTGGTTTTTTAAACTGCAGTTGGCCTTTGTTTTGCCGCATAAGTTCTCAAGCCGTTAACAAACTAAATATTACTTATTTGTATTCCTATGTTTGTAAATGTATACAGTAGAGCACTGGGCGAGTGCAAGAAACGATTGCAATTGATAATAATCATAGCGAGTACGTAGATGTGAGCGCATACGTCTTAATGTGCATAAATATTTACTCAACATGTAATTAAAGTGAACTAACAACTTAAAGAAATTAGTAGTGTAACACGCAATTAACTATTATATAAATAAAGCTAGGCAATTCTGATCTGATGTGAGAGATATTTGAGCGTTTTTTTAGTTCTTGCTCGAACGTTTTATTAAAAAATATACAATATACAATTTGACTTTGATATGCAGTTTATGGTTAGAATGGTAGGTATCAAAAATTTTCTGTAAATAACAGTATGAATTTAAAAAAAAAGTTTTGAGATTTCAATAGCAAACACCCACAATTACTTTTGTTTTTCGTTTATTTCCACACTTATTTGGAAGCTCCTTTGCTTTTTATGAGGAACTTTGATCAGTAAGTGATTCTTGGAAGTGGAGTGGAACCCTAGTGGATCTTGGCTTTGCGATATATCTCGTGGTTTTATAACCCTACTCCGACCAATGCTTATCCAATGGATCGAAGACTGTAAGCTTGATCTGAAGTTTCGAAGATAATGGATAACTCACTACCCAAAAGAAGATGTCAGTATATGGCTCATCGTTTACTTCTTTAGGAGCAGCTAGTAGGGCCAAAGGAATTTCACGATTTTGCGATGATCTAAGGGCTATGAATTATTTAAAAGAAAATTTTGCTATTAATACTCACGTGTCCTTATTAATACTACTGTAATATAGAAGAGATACAAAAGAGTTGCCTTTGGTAAGGGCACCATCAAAGTAAAACTGCTTTGGTAATCCTTGCACTACTCGTTGGCAATATTCTTGAGGTAGAAAAGATTTTGTGTTCATATGCTTATGAAATCGCTCAAAATGAGAAGCGAATGTATTAGACTTCAAAATGGATTCGCACTTGTGTATAGGACAGGAAAACTCTTCATCCATCGTTAATTCTAATTTATCTTCAACAGTTTCGTTTGGTTTGCCTGATCCCATTGAGATTACTTGCCAGTTAAGAGCCGGCAGTCCTTCATATTCAGTAGTTCTATAAGATATTGTTGCTTCTGAGGCGGCATCAGAATAAGTTTCTGTCCTTGATTCATTAGAAAGAAAGCTAGTTAGGAAGTCATAGTCATCAGAAGACGACTTGTTAGTTATAAGACGAAGTGGCTTTTGGAACACACTTAATTTTTTAGATAACGAACTCGAATGGCTTTTTGAAGATTTTATATCACTTTCTTTATTTTCTGGAAAACTGTTTGCTTTCTTTGTGACAACTGAAGTAAAATTTGATGCTCTTGATATGCTATCAATGTTATCTGTATTTGTTTCATAATCTTTGTTTCTACTTTCTTCTGTATAATAAAGGCTGTTCTCCTTCGGGCGTATATTTAATATTTCTTGTGAATAATCTTTATCATGTTCTTCGGAACCGCTTAATTTATTAGCAACTGGTTCCAAAAAATTCACAACTGATTCAGTTTGTGTAGAATTAAGCAGCTTTATGGGTTTGCTCATCATTTTCTTAAGCTTGAGTTTAATTGATTTGTCAATTTCTTTTCTGATGCCATCACTCACTTTTGAAGAACAGTTTTGGGATTCATATTTGGGAACTTCTTTCATTTCTTTTAAATGTAGTTTTTTATTGCATGCCGTAGTAGTTGTGGTTTTGGTTTTAATTTCCATTTTGGGTTCTATATTCAGAGCTTCTTCTTTTCGTTTATTTTTAAAGTTTTCACCTAAATTATTTGACTTTACGAGTTCAAATTGAAAGTCTTCCTGCGTATTGGTTAAGTCAGAATTGGGAATAATTAATTTAATTGGTTTCGACATAATGTCTTTCGCTGCTTTCATGTCACAGAAAATATCAGATTGACAAATATTTTCAGATATCACTTCCTTTTGGTGAATAATTTTCTTCTGCTGGAGCACAGTTTTACTTGTTTCTCCCAAGATTTTCTTTTGTTGTGCTTTGATCGAGAATTCAAGTTCTTCGTAATGGATCTTACGACGACGGCATTTTAGTTTCTGGGATGGCCAAACGGGTAGACCACGTGTTTTATGTTTTCTACGTTGCCTTATAGATTGACTTTTTACCGTGGGAGTTGCTAACTGGGGTAATGGGGTTAAATTTCCGCTACTACCATCCTCTAATTGCCTCTGATCTCGATACGATTCCAGTTCCTTAATATTAATGTCGGGCATACGAAACTCATAGAAGGTCATAGGAGGTTGATCCGTAAGACTTTCCTTAATATAGCTGACAATAACTTTGCCAGTATTTATTAATTTACTTACAAAGGTGGCAACCTGCGTCTTTGGGATCTCTTGGCACATATGAAAAACCGTCTCGAATGTTTTCATCACAGCCCAATTGATTGAAGGTTCTTTATATCGACGGTTGTTTACAGGTATACGCGACCTGACGAAGCTCGCATTATAGGGTGTAACTTTTGCTTGGCTTCTTAGGGGATCCTCTTGTTTTTCGGGAGAAGTGTTTCTTGGTGGCACATTTATTATGGGTTGACCTATAATATTTTCCATTTTACTTTGTTTAGGTCGAAAAGTGTTTGGTGAGTTTTTAACACAATGATGAATATTGCAAGGAGTCTGTGATGCCAAAGTACGGATATGGCAAGTTTTTACAGTGTTTCCTAGAGGCTCTTCCTCCAGATCTCTTTGATTGGGGAAAACCCCCTTTTCCTGATACTGCTTTAATAACTCTTGTTTTCCAGAAAGACCACTTACTCTATTAAGACTTTCCTTTAGTGTCATTCCAATTCTTTTACCTATGTCGATTTGATTGGTACATTTTTTGATGGATTCATTCAATTTTCTAGGAATTCTGCTCTCTTTCATCCTTAATTCAGAATTCTTTTTTCCGCAGCGACCGCACTTTGAAATTGTAGATTTGGATCCATCACGTTGTTCTTCTGTGTTATTTGAAGACTCATCTTTTGTTGTAAGTTCCCGTTCCCAGCTAGAATTAGTAAGTGCTGTTGATAAGACATTGGAATAATCTTGAGAGGGCTTTGTTTTATTTGAGGGATATACAGATTGGTCAGTTGACACATCACTTAACAAAGGAGCCGCTTCAGAGTCCTTGATGAACATATTGTTTACAGTCTGATTCACTTCTTCTTCGATTTTTTGACTGTTATCGATTTTGTTATCCGCAGTGTTACCAGCTAAACTTTTAGATGCCTGTGAGAAGACTTGTTCCATAATAGAGGAGAATAAAAGGGATCTCTCGGCCGCTGGCTCGTCGGATTTTGCTATATCTTTTTGAACGGTCTGCTGTTGATTGAACGGGTTATATGTAAAGTTGCTTTTCAAACTGTTTTTGCTAATACAACCAAATCCAATTTGATTAATGGACTTCATTAAATTTTTACGTACTGAATTTGTCATAAAAAACATGCTTGAAAAGTTGTCAGAAGTCGCTATAGGGTTTAATTTTAAGTTCAAGGATTCGATACGATTGTTGGGTAAATCCTGACGAGGTTCAAGGTACAATGATTTGGGCCGGTCAAGAAGGTATTGGGCACCATTAACAACAAGAGCATCCTCTGATGGACCGTCGTAATGGTCAAAGGGGCAAAACTGACTGGCCAGCTCGTTATCAATATCCATCGCATCCTTAGACTTGGTAGGTTGTAATCCACCGCCCTTCTCCCTGGTATCTACCGACTTTCTGCTGTCCACGATCTTGCTTAGGACTTTGGATAGAGGTGGTAACGGGCGACTCCTGTGTAAGCGTGGTGGCCGAGAGCTGTTCCTGCTTCTCTTGGAGATTGCTCCTCCGAAGGTATCCGTAATGGGACTTTCCAATGGTATAAAGTTGCTTACAAATAGATTGCTATAGCTCTGACGTAGGTTGTTTGTCTGGCTGAATACATTGTGGGGCATGGCCACTAAGTTCGGCATCTCTGATCGTGGTGGTAGAGCAGGTTGTGATGGCGAAGGAGAAGTCGACGATGATGATGATGCTGACGAAACAGACGGCGATGATGGAGGCGGTGCTGTAGGTTCCTGCTGACGACGGGGAATCCTTTTTGGTTTAGAATGCAACCCATGACGTCCAGAGTAAAACTTGATTTTGCCCTCCTGAACTCCAGCAGTACCTTCCTGTCCAGCTTCTGCTCTGGCCAAGCCACACTTGACGCAGTTCATCCTGCAACCGCCTTTAGATTTGGGTTTCTTGGCCTTAATGGCAACCTTTACCCGAGTCACTTGACATTTTTTGGGCTCCTCGGTGTTAGATTGCTCCAGGAGATTCTGTTTGTGTTTGGTGCCTATATCTGCATGCTCATCGCTGGACGAACCGTGCCCGGCTTCAGGGCGTCTGGCCAAACCGCACACCTCGCAGAGCAGTTGACGGTTCACTGGAATGTGAAGCATCGCTCGTGGCAGCTTCTCGCACAGGCACCATTCCCGAGGCCTCGTCAGGCCACTGGTCATGTTGTTCATGTACAACGAATATAACTTGTAGAACCGAAACATCAAAAGTAAACTATTTTTTTTATTCGGACAGAAATTAGAGCGAGCAAATTCACAAAAGTCAGACGGGACTAATATTTTCCTGTCAGACTACTATAGAAAAATTCTGTTGACAAATCATTTATTTTGTAAGTTTGTCTTGATTAATGTTACATTTTTTAATACTTTAAAAATTACAAACATTTCTTCGAGCAGTTAAGGAAAATGTTATTTCAGAACTAAAGTTCTTTGCTTGCAGTTATTTTTGTATAATAATAGTACAATGAAGTTTGTAAAATCAAATTGATACATTAAAGGGTCCATATCTTTTGTACAAATATTTTGTAAGTAAGTTTATTCAGTAATAATCTTCCCACAGGCAAGACAAATTTGTTATTCACTTGACTTTGTTTGCATTCTCTGTAATTTGTAATTGAAGTTTATGTGGCCGGATGACTCTGATTGAACGTGGTCCAGCCACTCATAGAGTTGGGAAATTTAATTAAGTTTCTGCTGCATTTTTAATGTACACATTCAATAGTGAAATATTTTATTTTTTTTTCTATAGTTATGTTGTCCGAATGAAAGAGCTTGTGTCCTTCGAGAACAATTCACAAAATACTATTAAATGTACCATGCATACTATCGCCTTGCTTCCTGGAAAAAGAGATTAGTTCCATGCCAATCTAAGTGAAATTTCATGTTTCATATGCAATTACTGTTCTGGGAGGAGGATTACTGAGCACACACACATATGTATGTACGTATATATTAACACTTATAACTGACGAACACACATCACTTTGCCATTCGAACGTAGTTGGAATTTATTTGAATTTTTACTGCAATAAATATGCACAATGCTATGCAGGCGAACACAAAGTGAAAACAGTTGACCCAAATACTCGGCTCCTTCGGCAGCAGCATCTTGTTTAATTAACTATATAGCATTTGATTGATTGGCCTAATCCTTCAGCTCTTCACCTAAGCCCACCCAGGACCGACAAAGCCGTCACTTTATCCAACCCATTTCCCGGGCAAAGTCAATAAACACATTAAAAGCGCATCGCCTTACAAAATGTTCTGCATCTTCGGCTCATTGAGCAGCAGCAGCTTCGGGATTCAAGGCAAAAGGCGTTTGGCAGGGAATTTATGCACTCAAATCAAGCAGGAAAATAAATTATGTATCCAGTCGCTATCCAGCCGGGAGTTACTAAGTTCGAGTAGCACGTTCCTATGACCATTTTGAATTAAAAGCCGGCTGTCCGGGATTTATGCGCGCCACTGGCCATAAAAATATTATTCCCAGACTACAGACTATAGCCCCTCCGAATCGGCGCCTAATTGTTCACCATCGAATGTATTTCAATATATTCGACTATGAAGACTGAATTGGAAAAAATACCTAGCACTTTTTAGAGTAAAGAGAGTGATCGAATTGTCATTGAAAAGATTAAACAAAAAATTGTTAAGCTGTTTAAGAGGGTGTTGAAAGGTATACTGTGAAAAATATACAAGTTTCTTACTTTTTTGTTATTAAGTCGTAGCATTAATAATGCCTGAAAGCATTTACAAATTTATGGTTATTTTTTAAACAATATTTCCCAAATATATATTTTTAATATTACATGAAATACCAACTGGAAATAAACCCAATGGTTTAATCTTAGTCTTAGACAATGTTTCTTACACTGTATAAGACTACAAAAAACACATCGAAGTCTGCGATTGGAGCAACAAAATTATTTACTCCCTGGTGTGGCATTTTAATGCGTTTTTATTGCGATACTTTTAGCGTCATTTCATTTTCGGCATTTTTCTTTGCCCTGCGAATTTTCAACCCCACCGATTCCCCTCTCTTTTTGCTTTGCCATCGCCAGCCGTAATTTTTGTAATTTTTTGGCATGGCTTTTAGTTGGCGTTTATTGCATTTCCTTCAGCATTTAAAGAACGGACGCCCGACCGGAAATTTAATGTGTGGTGCAACTATTTGAGGCATGCACATACGCAAAACGGAGCTTGTCGGTGGTTCAAAAGGGCAGCTGCAGGGGCGGAAAAATCTGATGTGGTGGAGGGGATTCGTGGCCAAAGGGGTGAATATTTTTGCATGCAACTGGAGTCACCCGGAAAATTCATCGCATACGTTGAATGCGTACAAGGATGCCCATTCTCAGGTGGTCTTTTTTTTTTTTGCTTTTTTTTTTTTTTTTTTTTGCTCTCCCCTCAGGATCAAAGGTAATGAAATATATAATTATCCGCAATCGGCGGCCACCCATTGAAGCAAATTAATTGGGTTTCCACCTCAACTTTAATTACAGAAGCTATCCTCCAGCAGTTCCACAAGCTGGCCTCCGCATTCCTAAAGAAGCCGAGCTGCGCGTTTCCAACGCGTCCAACGTCCTGGGAAATTCCAATTGTATATTAAATACTTTCCATTAAGTTTTAAGCAAATTTTAATTACAATGCCGTTGCTTCCGCCATTTAACACAAAAACAATTTCCGCCCAGGCATACATATTTTAGATCAAATATTGCAACTGCAGCCTGAAGTCCAGGGGTAGGGGATTCCAGAGGGCTTTCTGTGGATCCGAAAGTGAAATAGGGATGTGGGTGCTATGGTTGCCTAAATGTTTTTTTTTTTGTTTTTTCCACTCGGCTGGGGGGGCTGGGCTGCCATGAAATATAAAATTCAGTTCGTGGCTACGTGACTTGGGTGGTGTCTATTTTTCAGCTGGGTTGGCGTTGCACAAACGCATCCTCTGTTTACTTATTTAACACAATTTTCACATTTCATAATTCAAGTCGGTGAAGTGTTCCCCCGTACAAAATGATGGCTGACGTGCGATGGGCATGGCACTTTAGGGGGCGGTGCATTGAGGGAGTGGCTGCAGTGATACGCATGCGTAACTTCTGCTTTGAGGCACGGAGGTCGGTTCCATCAGAAAGTATTTTCCGTTTAATGTTTCTCATTTTGCAATTGCTTATTGCATGCAACTCTTGAGTTTTGTGAGTTGCACTTCGTCTCTATTCTTGCCTTTTTTTTTGGAGTACCTTTGTACATAAGTGGAAAGCGCTGTCTGGGATATCTAAGCGAGGCGACAACCTTGAAAAGCACTCAACATATAAAAGGCAGCACTTCCCATATAGAGCAGTTTTGTGTGTCCTTCGGTCACAATTATTATAGTTCCTGTTATTGCACAGGCACATCACGTATCCGCCGTGGTGGCCCACTCACGAACTCCACTTCTGATCCGGTTGAAGGGGACAAAGTTTGCCGTTGAATACTGAGCGTCGTGCGGCAGAAAAACTTGGTCTCGATTTGCTAGTGGAATATACACTGAAATAAATATATTTTTGGAATGTTTGGAAATAGGGTGTACTTAATTTTATATTTTTTATTGGCCAAAGTTAAACTGATTTTATAAAGAAAATCATATGAGTTTTAGGAATGCGAAAATTGGAAAACCGACAGTTAAAATAGAAAATTATGTAAGCTTTCTATTCAAGTTGAATACCTTGATGGTAATAAATGTTTACGAAATGATTGATTAATAATATTCATTTACCAATTTTGCATTTTAATTTATGCCCATAGCCCAGTGGTGATTGCTTTCCTTCAGTGCATGAGGTGAGCATCTGGGCGGGATGGCAGAAGTCAAAGGTCTGCTCTTGATTGCGCCCGTATGTGACGGAATGTGTGCCTAGAGATGGGATTTGATTGATTGCAGGATAAGGGAGAATCAGGTGGCAGAAGTTTCCCTAGAATGCAAATCCCATTGAGACCGCTTTAATGGCTATTAATGGAAAGATCTCGAGAGAATCTTTAACATGGATCTTAAGGGATGGCATATTTTTATTTCTTTCTTTCTTTTGTTTAAGCGAGAATGTTTTGTGGTGAGGCTACTTTTGGGTTGGCCAGCTACTTCCGTTACCATAAAAGCACTTCTAAAGGTAATTGTTTAAAAATGGACTTTATTCAGTTATGGCGCAGCACTGTCCTGTGTGGCCGCATATACAAACACATGCATATGCATCCGCATCCGCATCCTCAACCAGGTCCATATAGCCCATAGATCGGCTGTCTAGTCATGTGTGCGCGCTGTCCATGTAAATTTTAAGCAACTCTCCAAACTAACAACCGACGCAAATTGCTGCTGTTGCGGTTTATTTTGTGTTGCAAAAATATGCAGCACCCTGCCCTTACCGTCTGTCTCCGTTCGTTGTTCCTGGGTCCTTAGTCCTGAATCCTGGTTCCTAGCTCCTGTCCCCTGCATCTGCATCTCCCCTCTACTTGCCTGGGGCTTTGGGAGATGTTGGTTTTTTTTTTTGGGATGATAATGGGAGGGATCGTGGTGCAGATGATGGAGATGGGTTGGGACTTCCAGTGGCGCATTGTTGGGCCTGACTTTTTGCTGCCCGTTCCCGGAATGTGCGGAGTTTGTTTGTTGTGATGTGTGTTGGTTGGCGGGCTTGTTATTTTACCCAAAAGCTGTTAAATTGCTTGAAACAAAACAGTGTTGTTCCATGGGAAGAAACTGTTGTTTGCGGAAAGAGGGGTTCCGGCTACGTCCATGGCCATAAATATTAAAGTGGGTGTCAAAAGGAATATGTGGTGCGAAATGCTTTGAATGCTCCAGCCAGCCATCCAATGAACGTGCGATTCGACAATGAAATAAATGTTAGAAACCCCTTCTATGCCCGTCCTGGAAACCCCAAAGAAACTCCACGAAAACGTGCCAATGATCCCTTTTCCAGATAGTTACTGCATAGGAAAATCCCAAATAAATCAAAACAACCGAATGCGTGGACATGTCCCGCCCCCATATTCTGGGGTCAACCATATTGTATTTCCACAATGCCCCTACAAAAGTTTCCACTTAAACGGGGATTAATTAAAAGTAAAAACTTGCCGGTGTGCGCCTTGAATGGAGACTTTGCCATGCATGAATATTTTAATCAAAAATCTTGGCAGAACAAAATGAAAAGAGCTGTTTTTTTTTCGGTTGCACTGGCCAAAAGGATTTGCCTTTAGCTGCGAAAGTTTGCTTAAAAAATTATGCGAAACCAAGTTTTCTCGTTTATAGTGAGTATCAGAAAAAAAAAGGAAGAAAAAATGATTGCATCCCTATTATTTATTGTGTGCCAAGCCCTTTCTTGCGATGTGTTAAGAAATTATGTGGCCCGTTCCACTGATCCTCCCCCTCCGGACCGCCCGAACGTCTGACATTGAACTCGCGAACTACTGGTGGATTTTTATTAAGTTTCAAACGCTCAAGAGCTTTGCATTTTATCTGGCTGGCAGCCTTTGAGCGGGCTTAACTTTTGGACTACTCAAGGCATCGAGCCCTTCTTATTTGTTATGAAAACTTCAGGTTGGCGGCGGGCCAGGGGGCAACGACAAGTGCAGATGGGGCTTAACGTCTATGAAAAGCGCCTCGAGTACAGTCCTTTGATGGTGGGCGGGCGGTAGCCTTGGAATGAAGGCAAAAAGCCATGCGTACGTCCTCGAAACAAGTTTACTCCTTACTGGGAACTACTTGCTTCCTCTGACTTCGTGTATGTGTGTTTGTGTGTGTGAGTGGAGGGGGTGTGTTTACCACTACTTACTTATTGTTGGGTATGGGAAGTTGTTGGCTTCCTAAACGGATATACCAACTTCAAATAGTTTTTTCCCTCTGTGAGCCCCATTCTTTTATGCTTCTTTACGAGTATTCCGCATCCTTTTTTTGTGCAGTTGTTGTGGTTGCACTTTTTGTTTGTTGCCAACATTTGGGCTCCGGGTTCCTTTTGCCGGTTCCGCCCAGAAATTGCGGCAGCACGTGCCAGAGGTGTTCCAACTCCGTTGCTTGGCTTCTACGTACTCCGTAACTCGTGCCGTGGCAATGATGAGTTGTGGAATATTCTCGGGGAGTTGGACTGCTCCAGGACATAGCCAAAGAGCTTCTCGACTTTGTAACCCTGCCTGCTGATACCAGGATGTATGGTGTAAAGTCGTGTCTATGGCTGCACTTGCAAAAAAAGGGCATCAAATAAGGGGTTACATAGTTACATTTGTAATTGAGTTAGTTAGTTAATCATTTCATGGCTTTGTGTAGAGTTAAATGATTAATTATTATAACTATAAAGAACATAGTTATGAATAAATTTCTTCAAGTGCATACTTTACTGTTATCTGGTCCAGTGTGCTCCCACTCGGCGACTGCGATATCCACACAGGCTTTCGAGCTGGCCCAAGAGGTGGTCGGTCGAAGATGCTTGGATTCCCAGGACTCCTCTGTGTTTGGTGTTCAGCAGCAGTGTTTGGTTCACTTGCTGTTTTATATTTACTAACAGCCACTTGAAGTTCATCGCTTACAAACATATTTTCACTCCCGTCCTACCTTTCTCTCTTCCTGGTTCCACATCCTTCTACTTCTGGTGAAAGTGCTTATCGCTTTATGATGGGTTCTGTTCAGTTCACTTCGGTTTAGCTCTGTTATCCTTGGGTTCGGGTGGGGTATTTAAGAGCTGGGTGTGTGGTCAGGTAAATGCGGTAATTATGAACTTAAATTTCTGGGTACATTGTTCGACAGCCATTAGGCCAAGCCATCTGGGTTAATTGTTTAATTCGGGCTATCCGATATCAGACAGAACCAACTCGTCCCTTAAATAATCCCCAAAACTGATCATTTTAAATAACCAGCTAGCCTTGTTTTTTGTGCGTAATTACAAAAAAGGCAAAAAAAAAAGTACAAGAGAGGGAAAAATACCGTGAAAAAGGGTAAAATTTGTGAGCTGCATAAATTCATTGCGCTTATTAAGCCACCGCCAACACGCAAGACAAAGCCTTAAAAGCGGGGGAAAAAGAGGAACATGGATTTGGTTAAGGATTGGGATGGGGGCGTCACAGCATAATCACACCTTGACCACCTGTCCTCGCTGACGGTTGGTTGGTTGGCTGGTTGGTTGGTTGGGTTGCCGTGGCCCTCCTGGATTTTTGCCCCATGGTCGTTGCAGTGCATTTAATCTCGACAACATTTCCTTTGCCGTCGAGGACGCAGCCCATGACATTTCCTACCTGCAGTCCCTTGCTTCGCTTTCCCGCCATCCTTCCGGCTCCTCGTTTTTTCTGCTCCAGCCCTTTACTGTTGGCGACGTTGTCGAAAACAAAAATTAGTCCTGCCGTAAAATGGGCAAAGGAAGTGGTAAGTACCTGCCCATCAGGCCACCCAACCTGGCCACTTCCACGCCATCGGCCGACTGCAGTAACCGACTTTGGCAGTAAAAATTCGTAATGTGCAGCTAATTAAGTTCAAAGCATAGTTTCAGGCACTGTTCCCAGTTCCCAGGAGTCAAGTCCTCCTGCATTTAGTCCTGCCCGCAACCGCCAACGGCCTTTGCAGTGGATCGCCAGATAGTTGGTTGGCCGGATAGATAGATAGAGTAAGGGGATGTGGAGTTTGGCTCTGGCTAGAGCCCGTTGACAGTCCCAATCCTCAGTGAGTTTTCGTATGATTGCCCCGGAAAATCCTTCGCCTCTGAGGTCGGACTTGTCCGCTTTGTGGCCAGTACATCCTTTATCCTTTATTTCACGCAAATAAAATACAAAAATTGATTCCGCCCTCAAAGGACAGCCCAGTTGTCATGGCTTCATCGGGAGTTCCCATTGCCTTAAAGCATATCCAAATACTTTACTGTTGATAGCTTTCTCAGCACACCACAAACTCTTAGAGTAGCAAGGTTCAATGAAAAAAGTTTCTAAAAAATCTGCAAAAATGTTTAAAGGTAGCTTATCAGTGCTGACATTTAAATATCACCTCATCGTGACGTATAAAATGGATGGTTTTTGTAGTTAGTAATTAAACTTGTTGAATGACAAATTTATTTATTATTACAATCTTGAATGGAAAACTTGTGATTTTTTATAATAAACTTTAAATATTAGTTTCTCTTTTTGCTAGAATTTGATTTTGCAGCTTACCTAGAAGCTGCAAATTGCTGGCAGGAACTTAACTGGCGTGTAAATATTTTGCTTGGGCGATTCCTTAGTCATCATAAAAATTTAAGGACCCTTGCGAAACGTTGCGGACAGTTTTGACAGGTAGCCCTGGGTAGGAGGGCCACTTCATTTTGCGGCACTTAGAGGCGAATACACTCCATCGTGCACATTAAATTCATAATTGCATAGATTTAGTCGCCATTAAAAATGCAAAATGCGTCCCGAGCCGCAGATGCGGCAGATGGTAAACGGAAAATAGAAAACAGGGAAATGGGAAATGGGGAAAACAGGGTTGCTGTGCTATGCTACTCGTAACTTCATCGGGCGCATTAGCAAAGTTTCGTCGCCTTATTTATATGCAAACTGGACTCGGACTCTATGCCACAATGCAACTAATTGCCACCTAGTTGAAATCCGGCAGAGAGCCCTTTTTTCAAAACTGGTTTTTAATGCGGCCAACGTCGGCAATCTAGTCTAGTGTTGATTAAATACTTGCCAACTGCGCTTTGTATCAACAAGAGCCATTTTGATATAGGGGCTTGCGGCCAGTGATATCGGGGCTGTCATTTTTGCCACTTTAGGCCACTTGTTGTCGCACAACCAGACAAACATCGAGTGGCCAACCATTTTGCATAGAGTGCGAGTTGGCGACAGAAACTAAACACAAGCACAAGCACGCAGCGCAACTGTTTCGAGCTTAGTCCGCCTTATTGCGCCTGAGGGCAGGCAACAATATTTGTCGTGCAGTTGCAGTTGATAAAACTGTCCTTAACTGTACTCTTCGGGCCCGATGGTGGCACCAGATTCCATTGCCAGGACTAAAAAGTCCTGGCCAGACCATTGCCATTGCCGCATTGTCGTTTTGTCTGATGAGTTTTTAAGTACAGACAATTACAAACGACAACCGAGCAGCAACAAATGCAACAAATGCAATCAGCCAGCCGCATGCCAGAGTCGCTCGCTTACTTAGCCAAGTCAAGACCACGCCCCCTGTCTCCATCCTCTGTTGTCCTCCAACCAAACGCCCTCTCACAATCGCATTTCTGGTAGATAGTCCCCATCTCAGGGACCTGCGTTTGCGGTTATCACATTCTGCTGGGCAGTTTAGCTGCGTAATTGAATTAAATTTCGTTTTAAAATGTAAAAGACTTTTGATTTGGTTTGTAGTCCTTGATGTCGTTTGTACTCCATGAAGTAATTAAAATTTGTTTCAATTCCTGAACACCAACTTTGGACCATCAAGTTGGCCAAATCCCACAAAATGGGAATAAATCAACGAGAGAGTTAACGGGCTTTTGGTTTTGGGTTGTTATCAAATTAAAACTACAAAAAATGCATTTAAGGGCTATTTAGCAGAGCTCAAAGGGTAATTAAATAAAACCTCTTTGATTTAAACATTTAAATATAGTTTTAAACTGAGAATAAAGAACATTTTTTTTACATTTTGACAGAAAACAGAAACCAAATTTAAAGTAATCAGTCTAAAAATCGTAATTTAAAAAAATACTCTTTCCTGTCAGAAAAAAAATTAGCTTTGAGATGTCCGGAAAATCACTTCATTTGTTCCGTAAAATCAATAGCGTGCGTTGGTACCGTGGAATGTCTCACGTCCAAATGAAAGCTTGTGATGACTTGCTTCACGCTCTGCGAGATGACATGGAACAGGGATCATTGTACCGTGTGCGTCGCTGTATCTCCCAGCTGGGACTTCATCCAATGGTGGGATCTGCACAGATTAAAATCATCATGGCATTGAGTCAAGGTAATGACCTTGCCTTCTTGTGGTTCCTGTGGGAGTTCATATACAAGAGCCCGCAAAAGCATCGAAAGGAAAATGAAGACTCTGATCAGGATCCTATAACCTACACACTCAATGAACAGTTGCTTTTGTCAGGTATTGCCCACCTGGACATTCCGGCTACCCTAAGGGCTTTGGATGCTCTATTACCACCTGCTACTCAATCAACGAAGACAACTATTAAACGGACTCAAAAGAGTTCTTCCATTAGGGTCCAAAGTTCAGGTCCAAAGGATCGTTTACAGCCATACCTTTCTCCTTTGGTACGTCCTTGTGCCTTTACCCCGAAGATCAAGCCCCGACTGCCTGAAAGCAAACTCCATTTCCCTGAGTACTCGTATTACAGTGATCGCATGCAGCAAATCCCAAATGAAAGGTCACGTTGGTTTGCTCAACACCAACTTAATCCCGTGAAAGAGGGTAGTACATGAGTTGCTTAAAGAGGAGCTAAATAAACTTAAATTGGTACAGAGGGATAATAGTTATAAGGATAACAATCCTATGTGTGAGACCCACCGCTTCTTAAAGGGCGAAATGCAAACTCAACAACAGGAGAAGATCAGTTCCATTTTTCAGCGCTGTCTGTCTCAGTTAAATGATTCAAAGGTCAAACTTAAGGCTCGTCGGACACTCTTAGAAGATATGGAAAAGAATATCCAATGCGCAGCCGACAAGATCGGCATTCAATCGCGAAGACCTTTTAGCCAAATTAAAGGCACTCGCATTGAAGGCGGAACTTGTCGATCATGCAATAATATGGGTTATTCACCTCGAAAGGACATAAAAAAGAAGTCAGAACTGCGCATTTTGTTGGGTGACGAAGAAAGTCCCACTGTAAATTTATTAGATCCTGCAAAGGATAACGTGCTCAAGGTAATGCTTATGCAAAAAAACGAGCCCCATCTCTGTGGGGCAGGGGACTGTAGAATACTGGGTGTGGACTGCGCCTTAAAAGAGTCTAAGGTCATATTAGAGAACCCCAAGGGTAAAGGGGGTAGAAGCAGTTCCCGAAGATCAAATATCGCCAATGAAACAAAAGGAAGTCGTAGCAAGTGAAAAGGACATCATCGGGGATTCACCTCATTTGCCAACTAACAACTTTAAGAACCTCGCTGATCTTATTCCTGCATGCAGTCGGACTTTACGTTCCTTGAGGAGATCTACAACCCTGCATCCTGAATCGGAGACTTTCACAAAAAGGATTTGCGATGGCTTGCAGTTGGACTACCATAAGATTTTTGATCTTCCAAAGCCCACTGAAGAGCAGTTGCCGTGGGAGGATGACAGCTTAGATCTAGAGGATAAGCGACCTATGATTAAAAAGCTATGTATTGATGCCCTGAAAGAATGGGGATACAAAATCAGTGAAAGAGGTGAAGGAAGACAAATCACTGCCGTCGGTTTTAAGGGCAGCTGCCAATTGCGCTGTTAACATGTTCCGGAAAAATGTTTTAGAAGTGCGGGAAGATAAAGTTGATAATAGCCAGCAGATTCTTATCGATCCGGACAACGAAGAGCAGATTGAAAATCTTTTGAAAGAAGCTTTGGCAGTTCTTCGTTGTAATCCGCATTTTGTACTGGCCACCTTCACCAATGCCCATAAGATGCCCGTTCTACTTGATTGGGTGGCAGATCGCTATGGCAAGACCTTCAGTAGGGATGACATGCAGGATCTTGTGAAGTCCTCGTACAACGTCTACAAGTCGGTTTATCATTCTAAAAGAGAGCAACATCGTAAGATGTTGAGGATAAAGAAAAATGTTATGAGTTTCGGGGATTTAATCAACTATGCCAGCTATAAGGAGTTCATGTGTCTGGTTAGACAGAAGAAAGCAGAATACCACACAAAGCTGGACGATCTAGCAATGGAGCAGTCGCGTCTTACTTGGCTGGCCTTGCGGGGATACTCCCACATGGGTAGCGAAATGAAAGACTGTTTCTTTGCATATATGCCCGCCAGGCAGCAAGATATTAAGCGCCTGCGTGTTTGGAGATCCAATGAGTACCGAGACTTGGTTAAACTCCGGCTAAGAACTAGGCTATCGAAATGATGATTCCAAATGGCGGAGCGTAAAACATGTAGGTACATGAATTTCGTTCTGGCATTTGGAATCCACATCGATGTGGGTCATCCTCGGGCAGTTCGATTTAGTTTTATCTGCTGATCTGCTTAGTGGCTGGTCCCCGTGGAAAACATTCAATGAAATTTGTCATTCGCCATTGTGGCCGACTACTTATGTAAACCAAACTATGTATAATCCCAATTAAAAATGCTGATGCCCAACTAAAACGCCCGGACAGCAAATGAATAGCAAACACGGTCGAATCGGGGCTTAGTTTCAGATTTTCAGCTATCGCCCGGTCGCCAGATTGTCGGTGGGCCGTGCCATCCGCCATCCGTTGTTGCTCATTAATTAAAAACGGGTGGGGGCGGTGTTGTGGGGTGGTGACGTCCCGGAATAGCGGAAAAGTGGAAAAGCGGTAAAAAGGGGGTAAAACAACAGACAGGCAAGCTGCTGGCCATGTAATGGCGGTCCAATGACGCACGTGACACGTGTGGCATGGCACTGACAATTCAAAATCGACTCGCTGACAGGCAGCTGACGCTGCCAGGCAGACAGGAGGACATTTTTGGGCGGGCCATGGTGCCAGCGAGGTTCTGATTTCAGCGGTCTCTGGTCGAAGCTCTGCCACCGGCACTTTGTGTATTGAATCGTAAAGCATGTGACAGGATTATGATATAAATCATTGCATACTTTACGGCGATTGATTTAAGGACGCCCCAACAGCCAGCATTTCATATTGATCAAATGAATGAATTTCTGCAACTGATGGGATTTTAATTATTTTTATACACACTAACAATTAATATCTAAAATGATTGTGACAATAATTTTTTTTAATATTTGCTTATCTTGTTTATTTACGACGTTTTGACAGACGTTTTTCAGAATTTAACACATTTAACGTATTTTTAATTAAATGTATTTTATCTCTCATTAAGCAAACTACAACTGAACAATCTAAGCTTCTTTTAAGTTATTATTTTAACTGGCCTCTTGTTCTTTACAAAAAATGTATCAGCTTTAATTTAACTATTACAACCAGTTTATTTACAATATGTAAGTTTTTCCCTTCTTGAACAAGTACAAAGGTGGCTCTAGTAAGTGAGAACCCAATCACATGCAGGTCCCCGGGCGGATGTTTTGTTACGGACCCTGCAGTAGCTGTCGGATAATCGCCGGCCAATACAATAACCTTGGCGTAGGATGGACCCCCATTCGAAATCCAAACAATGCCCCACGGAGACGGATCCCCCATTGGCAGCGCCATTTCCATGGCCATTATATTCAATTATACGACAATAATGTGGCGCTTAGGGCGCTGCGGTTCACGGGAATTGAAAATAATAATAAAGCGGGTTTTGTCGGTGGGTGGGGAATAGCTGTATAGTTGGATAGATAAAAAGTGCAAGCTGGTTTTTTGGGTGGTAGATGGTCCGTGCACAAGGACTTGGGCCAACTATCAGCAAGAAATTATGATTAGCTTTTGGAAAAGTTTTCGACCGCAGTCAGCAGTCAGTGCGGGCACTTGGGAACTGCCACCGCATACTTTGCGCCACTAATCCGATGGACGGACAGCGGACAACGGACAAAGGCCGGACAATATCATTGAGGCGTGAAGCCTGAAGCCTGAGAACAAAACAGCGAATTCCTGCAAGCGCAACGTTTTAATTTGACTCTTGATTGTTATGCCATTGTTGCCTTGCATTGTGCATTCGGAATTTGGCATTCTACACTTTTAGCTCGGTGTGTGGGCTCTTTGTATAATCGCCGCTAATGCGCTTGAAATTGTGCTAAACGATGGGCATTCCATGCCCAATTCTACCCACCAATTTTCAAATTACCCCCCCCAAGCTAAGGGCTAAGCATTTTGTAACAATATTTTAAAGCCCCGAAAGCTATTTTTCTGACTTATCGCCGGATTATAAATCGTGGGGACCATTTTTCCTGGCCAAGAAGATTTGCATTTGCACGAAACATTTGTTAAATGTATCGTCATGTATGTCATTTCACTTAATTATGCCATTTACTTTGCATACAAAGCTATAGCCATAAGTTTGCCCCGAAAATCTTGCGTAAATTTGAAAACTCTTGACGTTTGGGGTGTTTTCCCAGAAGAGAACAATTTGTCACAATTATTGCACACAAAATGACAGGAAAATGAAAACCAAGCAGCTGGAAAACAAGCTCCGGCCCCGGAAAAGTCGACTTCAAAGCGGGCTAGTCCGGCTTTGACAAGTTAAATGTGTTCTGGGCCTGCACAATGATGCAGCAAATGCTCGCAGGAATATTCAGAAGCATAATGGGTGGGGTAGCCACCTGCAGGACGTAGACGCCTCATGGGCAAACTTGTGTCCGACATTTTGTCATATTTTTTGGTTAATTTCCAAAAATGCAAATCATCGATGTCCTGGCGAAACGGAGCACGTCCTGTCGCCTTTTTTGACAAATTTGCCATCCAGTTTGTTCGTGCGGCGATGCGCTCGTTACAACTTTCTAGTGGTAAAATATCATCCGGGATCCGGTTTGCTCTTTAATTTTGATGTCGCCTGTCAGTTTTCGCATTCTGAAAACTCGTCCTCCCTGTCGATCGTCATGTTTTCTGTGGCTCGGCCGCTCATTTGTTTGCAGCTTATTCGCATAGTTGATGTTGGTTTTTGGGGCATGATGGTCCAGGGTTCCGCTCCCCTGGTCCGTTTTATGGAAAGTTGACATTTTCATTTCCTGCCTTTGTTTGGGCATCCATTGCTTTGCTTAGGCTTGAAATTTTCCTTCTTATGCAACATAAAATTTACTATTTTTAGTAACTAATAAGGGTTTTCGCAAGTTCAAATTTCGTTTTTAGAACCATTACAAATTAGATTAGATTTGAGATTATTTTACTATCAGTCTTACCTTTGCAACTCTGAATCTCTGAATATACTTAGAGAAATGTATAAAATGGTTCTAGCTGTCTAATTAGTTAAATAATTAACCTTCTATAGTTAGTAAGTCTTATTTGATTTTGTTTGTAGCTTAAAATAGTAAAAATAAATAAATAAATTTTGTTTTTATAAAGTTTCATTCCGAACATGATTGATTTTTCATACTATGACATTAAGATTTTTGAGCTTTCATGAAAGCTCAGACCGGTTCTCTCTCATCTGCGCATGCGCCGCCTACTCACTGCAATTCCAGCCAGTCAGAGCGAAAGCGGCTTAGCTATTGGAGACTTTAGGCCGTTAAAACTTAATCTCGAAACCATTCGATCGCACAGTTGAGTTCGAGACGTAGACGCGTGCGTACCGCAGAGTTGGTGAGTTCCGATTTGTTCGAGTGTAATGGCAATGATGTTGGATTAAAAGTGTATCAAAATGGCCAACGGAGTGGTCTTAAATGCTCATTTAAAGTGCCGGAAAGCATATTAATTTGCGATATTAAAATAATCTATCTGTTCGTGCAGGTTTATGTCGGCTAACGAAATGGCGTTTGTGAAAATTTGCATATTTGCTTTGGCTTTGGCCGTGGGTAAGTGTGGAAAAAGCTCTTAATTGCATTTGCCAATTAATGATACGTCAATAGCATGGCATGGCATGGCATGGCATAGCATGGTGTGCCCTGCCCTGTATAAACTCTATTTGAATAATGCGTTGTGACTTTAATGCTCTTCTGCTCTCAGCGCAAACAATCGCCTCTAATTGTTCGCCGCACCCAAACAAATATCGGCAAACAAAACGGCAAACCAACGAACAAACCAACAAAATGGCAACAAACAACGATATGTAAATGCTGTTCATTCTGCATTCCCTGCATGCTGCATGCTGCAGTACAGCATTCACCGTGCAACAACTAAGCTGAAAAATATTGTTGTTAACATTATTTGCGACCATGTTTATGCATATCTGCAGTGTTTGCAGTCGTGGCCCTCTCATCATGTCAACTCTTGTCCGATTTCGATGGCATGGAACACGTGTTAATGCCATATGTATCATAGGATGTATATATCCTATAGCAGTCCCATTCATCGTGGGCATTGTCACACTTGTTGTTGTCAATTTGCATGGCTTTGGTTTTTGGGGTTTTTCGGTTGAAATTACAATTGCAAAATTACCCATTGCCATTGCCAGTTGCAATTGAAAATTCGGCAATTTAATTTTCTGGCAAATTTTCTGCTCATTTATTGTGTGAAAGCTCATTAAAAATTTGTTTGTCTCCGATTCCCCTTTTACCATTCACCATTTACCGTTTGCCATTTCCCATCTACCAAATATGCAAAACATTAAAATTTCATATTGTTAACTCCCCCGGAAAATAAAATATAAATTGATATGCTAGCAACTGTTGCTCGCCCGAGGGGAGGGGGTGTGTGGGCGTAAGCCGAAATTAGTAATTATATTAAAATGGCCATGAAAAATATTGCACCAGCTATCATAATTAAATGTATTGCAATTTGGGGTCGCAGAGTGCGAGACTACACAAACATAAATGGCACAAATTAAATTGTCAGTTAATTGAGGGAAAACTCTCCTGATGCACAGGCACGTTGAGACAATGGAAAAGTTTTAATTTGATTGCAAAACATGTTTGGCCGGCGAAAAGTTTATAATTTATTTGCCTTTACCATCATGTTGACACTTTCTAGAGAGAGCCAGACGCGACGACAAACACGTTTTCCTCTTTCAGAACACTCCATTTTAACAATCCATCGTCCCTCTCCGTCGAGTCTATTATCAATCTCACATCAGTTCACTGAATGACATGAAAAAAAGTGCTTAAATCTGTTTATTTTTAATCTATTTAATGTTCATTGAACTTAACACGCAAGCTGCACGCACTTTCCCAAGATGACGGCCCGACACCCACGACGTGTGTGACTGGAATCGAAAATCCAGCCGAAACCCCAAAAATGGGCATGAGTACTGGAAAGGGGGCATAAAAGTTTAGACCCACTCCAACACGCTGCCCCCCTCCCCTACGGAATAGGCAGTCAATTAATCTAGTTTAACCGGACTGGGAACCGAGTCAAACGGTCCAGGACCGGGTTGAACCGGGTCTGTTGACAACGGCCGACTCCGGACTCCATGGCAAACTTGTTGACAGACTGTCAGAGCGTCGCGACGGGCTCCAAACCAAGTCGACAACTCGTACCATGGCCCAAACCGCATAGGCCACGCTCCGCTTGGCACACTCGGTTGGCTGCCAAAAAAAGAAGTCCCATAAAAATGAAAGGACAACACCTATTCGTGACAGGCCGAAGGAGAAATGCCCTTGAGGGAAAAGGTTTTAGGACAAGATATTTAGAAATATAAAAGGAAAAAATTTGATATTAGTAGATATATTTTTATACCTTTGGCTTACCTAAAGTTTAATAGATAAATCAAACTCCTAATTTAAAGCTTCCAAATAAATGTTAATTTAATAAATTAAAACTGCAGATGAGGCAATCATGCCTGAATATAATTGTATTCAAATATTGAGCCTTGCCCTAGATGTTTTGTATTTCAAAAAGTTTTCTTAATCCAACTTTTCCTCAATGTGTTTTAATTTTCAAATAGCTGTGATGATTTCCCATTTTCCTACTGCTTTCCAATGAACCCATGTGCAAGAGTATCTACCAACTGAACTATGAAACTTTAGCTACTTTTTCTTTCCAAGCTTCTTGTTTGTGTTGTGTATTTTTTTTTTTTTTCGCCAGGTCCCGGTCCGTGTACGAAACATGTTTCAATGACAAGCGACAGCTGCAACAGCAGCAACAGGGACAACTTGTTGTTGCTGCAGTCGGTGTAGTTGTTGGCTTAAATGTTGCCTGACACTTCACGCACTAATTGCTCTGTGGAATTGTTTCTTTATTAACATTTAATCGAATGTCAGCCGAGCGACGTCAGCATCCAGCAACTTGCTGGCATTGTTGATGCTCACTGCGGTGCTGTGGCACGGCTCTCCGATGGCGGCAAAACGAAAATTGAAATCGTCTTTTCTTGTTTCTCCGCTCGTTTGGTTTTCACTGGCTTTTTGTTTTTTCCCCTCTTTTTTTTTTTTTTTTTTTTGCAATTTTTGCAATGCCTGATTGGAGTGGTTTACCTTGAAGAGAGTCTCCACGCCCGTTTTGCTGAATGCATTTGCTCGATGTCTGATTTCTGATGACATCTCCCCGCCGATACCATAAGTTGTTGCAAGTTGTCGGAAGTGCGTGGCAATGTCTCGGTTTTCCGCTGATTGCCATTCTGTTTTCAAGGCTGAATTTCAGCAACAGCTGATGCGGCTTTAATCAGCTGTTTATGGGCGTAAGCCCTGGTCTGTAATCTTTTGAAACACTTTCACTTTTAAGGTCGCCCCAATGCCTGGCCTGTGTCGCAATCGAACGGCGTTGTAGCAAAGCGCCAACTCATATACATATCGGTAGCTGTTTATTGAGTCGCCGCAAACGGGTTTCTTTGAAACAAAGTGGAAATGTTGGGCAAAAAACAAAACACAAAAACGTGCAGGATACACTTTGAAAAAAAAAGGTAGTGAAATACGGAACAGTATGTCTGATTGTACTAATCTATCGATTGCGGATCTTTGGGCAATGTTTAATTATCTTTCAAGTTATTTTTAAATCTTATTAATATTATATATCAACTTTCACTTTTCAAACTCGGCATGTGTATGGTCGCCTGTACTTCTTAGTTCTCAAAAAGTTACTATTACTAATGGGTCAGAATGAAAGTAACTTTAACTTTGTCAAACAATTACTGTTGGTTAAAGTAAATCAACTTGATTACCAGATTTACTTTCTAAATAAATAAATACACAAAATTTGCTGCTCTGAAAAGCTCAGCAAAGTGTTTACAATTTGACAAATGAACATGGGAATTTGTTAAATTTCACATTCGATTAGGTAAATTTAATTCAGTGATTTAGTTATTTAATGGCTGCAAAGATAGAAACAGTTGTGCTAAGCTGAGTTGCAAATTGCATTAAATTTAGTAAAAACCAAATGCATATAAATTCGATATTGATTTATATTAAAGTTGATAAAAGTCATTTGCAATATGGAATGAAATAACTATTGCAGAAAGCTTCTTTCAACAAGCAGATTAAATCTGTTTTATGTTTAATTGATTTTCGGAGAGTAAACTTGTAAACCAATTCATATCTACCTTCCGTTTAGGTTTGACGGCAACACTTGCCCAGGAGCAGCGAGGTGGCTTCCGTGGAAGTAACAGCCAATTCCGCGTTGGACCTGGCCATCCGCCTTCCCAGAGGCATCTACCACCGCGTAACCGCGATCCCGTCCAAGAGGCATCGGTGGTTCCTAAGAACAAACAAACGGCGGCGGAGAAGGAGTACGAACCAACCGAGGAATGCCCGGAGCCCAATGGCTTCTATCCCGATAGCAAACAGTGCGACAAGTACTATGCCTGTCTGTAAGTGACCAAAGAGGAGTAGGACCGGCCACGGGGCGTATGAGTAATGCTTTATGTTATATTAACCACTTTACAGAGATGGTGTGCCCACGGAGCGCCTCTGTGCCGATGGTATGGTCTTCAACGACTACTCTCCCATAGAGGAGAAGTGCGATCTGCCGTACAACATTGACTGCATGAAGCGGACCAAGCTACGTGAGTATCTGGCCATATCTGCTTAATTTGTAAGTCCCACTTTTCGTATGCACCTCACAAATCTCCAGCTCCGTGCTGCTAAATATAAAGCTCCTTTGCTTTTGGCTTCCACATTCCCCATCCCGCCAACCTTCATCTCCTCTCATCTTTTGGGCACAAAATCAGCCCATAAACGAGCTGCGTGCCCGCACTTATTTGCTCGTTACTTCTTGGCTGCGTTTTTTGTTAACTTATTTATTATGCAAACGGCATGCGAGGCGGTTAACCCAAATTGTTGTCGTCAATAGGTCTTCGGTCTTCGGTCTTCGGTGTTCGCGGAGCGGTGCTTTGTTTTTATTTTTCGCCTCTCAGTAGACTTGTTTTATTCGTGATTTTATTATTTCCCTAACGGTGAAGCCTCCCAGCCATCGAAATTTTAAGCCCCAGCATCAGCAATTGGCTTCCCGCAGCTTTAAACTTGCCAAGAGAATTCGCTTCTTCTTCTGACATGTGCCACGTGTGGGAGTAGCATCCTTCAAAACTTTCCGACAGAACACTTTATTCAAGTTTCTTCACCCTCCAACATTCTTCCATCCAAATTGCTAGCACTAAAAACGGTTTAAGAGCCAAGCTGAGAATGGCTTTAAGAAAATCATTTTCACTTAAAAGCTACCACATTTTACGGGGGCCATTTGTATGATTTTGTAATATAAAATATTACTGCACGTTTTAGTTTTTAAATAAATTATTTGCCACCCATCAAAGCAATTAGTACACATTGTGCTGGCCCATTAGCAATTTCAATTACCTTTGTCTCCTGTTAACATATGACGTTGCCATGGCATATATATATATATATCTTCTATATATATACGCACCTGAATAAATGTGCCTGCCTCAGTAGATTGTGCTGGCAGCCAGTAATGTATTTACGGAAAGGGTTTTTTAATGGGCAAGGAAAGGGATATTCTCGTACATATATAAATGGGCAACATGAAAAGTAAAAGATGCAAAAAGGAGGGAATATCATTTTTTACCTGCGCTTTGTGATTTTTAAATTAATTCCTTGCAGAAACCCCGCAACCATCGCTGCACTGCCCCCGGAAGAACGGATATTTTGGCCATGAGAAGCCCGGAATCTGCGATAAGTTCTACTTCTGCGTGGATGGCCAGTTCAATATGATCACCTGTCCAGCTGGTCTGGTCTTTAATCCCAAGACGGGCATCTGTGGTTGGCCAGATCAGGTGGGCGTCACTGGCTGCAAGTCCGAGGATGTCTTCGATTTCGAGTGCCCTAAGGTGAACGAAAGTATTGCTGTGACCCATCCTCGTTATGCCGATCCGGATGATTGTCAGTTCTTCTATGTCTGCGTCAATGGAGACCTACCCAGGCGAAATGGTTGCAAGTTGGGCCAGGTGTTCGACGAGGAGAAAGGAAACCTGTGACTGGGCTCGCAAGGTGCCCGACTGGTAAGATATATTTACTATAGTTATGACTTAGGTAGAATATTTTGATAAATAATAATGAGTAGATATTTAATAACTTAAAGTAGAAAAAACCCTTACAACTTAGACTTATTTATGATCTTTTAAAATGAAAATTTGGTTTAATAACCTTTTGTTCAATTAAGAAGTAGCTAGAAATCGACATCACACCCCTAAATCGTGCGATTCTTAAGAACTTCTGTCAAATTTAAGCAAAATGCTTTCTGTTATTCAAATGAATGTAAATAAGTCCCAACCGCATACATTACGGGGGCGCAAACAGCAAGTTTTCCTGGAAAAAATTTGACTTTTGGAATTCAAAAGAATAGCAAGGCAATTTTTGATTATTAAGAAATTCATTTTATGGTGATAAAATTCCAAGAAATATATTGCTTTAAAATCTAATTACCTTTATAAATAAAAAATAAACAAACTTTTACTAATATCAAAATCTTAATTTTATAGCGCCGACTGGTACAAGGACCGTCTGACCGATAAGGAACTGGATGAGCTGGAGAACCCGAAGCCCAAGACCACGACTACCAAGAAGCCACCACGTGTCCGTGGTCAATCGCGACGCAAGCCCCAGCCGAAGCGAGTGGAGCCGGAAGAGGGAGGATGAGGCCTGATCCCTGACTGTATTAGTCTTAAGTGAATCCCCACTGATTGTCACCATTAAAAGCGTGCAGGAGGTCCAACTATTGATCGCTTTACTCAAGCTGGGAGAGTTCCGTGGGGCGAACCGTATCACTTTATGCTTTTAGGCTAGCCGCGGATGCCAGGAGAATTAGCCACCCCCGTTCCAAAATCCCCGGCGAATGTAATATGCATGGGAATTTGTGTGAGGAGCAGTTGATGTGGTGCCAAAACGACAGGATTTTATGCGCATCCAGTGTTCACAATCCGTGCACTCTGCATTGTCCCCTACTACCCCTTGTCTACGTTGTCCCTGTGACATGACGAAATCAATGCTTCTCCCTGTCCAACTCTTTGCGAGAGTTTTTCCCATTGCCTGCAGCGCATAAATTCAATTTGCCGATGAGCGTGCACAAAAGTATGCAACAAAATGGCAACAACTCGATACAGACACATACACAAGCAAAAAAAGGATATTGAGTATTTGAGGGGCAAGGGAAAGGGGGGGGGGAGAGGGAGTGCTTGGGTGGGGCAACATGTGTATGACGTTTGGCAGACAAGAAGCATTCGATAAAACGCATTGAAATTGCATTGTGGAAATTGTGAGCAGTTGAATGGCGAGATTTACAGTGGCCATTGCCAATGGAGGGAATGAAAACTTCTGGGGGGGAAAAACTCAACGGAGGGAAAAGGGGGGAAAGGGTACCAAGGAAAATGCCGTTGAGGGCATCAATTCTTATTGTTTAAGAACTGACGTAAAATCTCAGCAAACGATGACATTTTTACTTGGCATTGTTCGAACGTTTGCTTAAATTTATTTATTCATTCGATTGGGGTTAGTTATAAATGGATTTTCCTTCTAACTTGGTAACAGAAAAATAAGATTACGTGTCTGGTGTCTGGGTTTCATCAAGATAGGTAAATTAGTCAGTTTTAGGCAGTCAGGGAGATGATTTTAGCATATTCAGTAACCTAGTTACACGATAATGATTGTAAATATTAACATACTTTAAAATTAAGATATTTCCTCGGAAGAGGAACTTTTCGGTGAATATAGAGAATAATATAAACTTTTTACCAACTTTCTTTGAAGTTTTAGTTTTGTCCTATAGTTTTCAAACTCTGTCTAAAACAATGGCTTAAAGCTTAAGGACGTGCATAATACGAAAATGTAAGCTTAAGACCTATCTTAAGAATATCTGGGTTAAATCTCTCTTTGGCTACTTGTTTAGTCCTGTGATGGACCTGCTGTTTGACATGCCGATGGTTGTCCTGCTATTTCTGTGTTAATTAACCACAGCTACGGGTCATCTAGCCTCGACTTATGGCGGCTGCCAAAGGACATGGAGACAATCGCCTGCCGAGCAGCTGCCTCTAATTAATCAACCAACACATACGCGCACAAGGACCAAGGTACACACTTGTAAGCCAACGCAGAACGGAATCGTTCCCCTGCAGCTGTCAATAATTTGGCACGTCCTCTGACCCCATGGCTTTCCGGCTATTTCCCTTTTGTCCTTAAACTTGTCCTAGTGCCACCCGTCGTGTCAACTCGACAATGAACCGCATCCAGAACCATTCCAACACCCACAACCTTTCCCCACCTTTCCGGTTCAGAGGAGGTCCATCTAAAAAGCATTTCGTCGAACTCAGCGCCTACTTAATCAAGTGTAACATGGACATGTCCAGGCTCACCTGCCGTTTGACATATTGCGCGATGTCTCCCCTCCTACTCGTGACCTTCAGTGCCTGCCGTGCTTTGGCCGTGTCCTTTGGGGACTCCCCTAACATGTCCTTCGGTCAGCGTGCGCTGCTATCAAATGTCAAATTTGACATAAACAAGTGTTTACATAATGACAACAACAATTTGCGTAATTGTCACAGGCATCCGAAGCAGCAGACGATGGTTCCACCAAGGGTTCCAGCATCATCACTACAGCTCCGGCCCTGTCGAATGTTCAAACAGTGGAGGAGCAATCCTTGCACTGTGTCCTTGGTAGTCACCCCTCGATTGAGGGTTGCATTCCACTCGGATTTACATACCCTTTTGCCCTTCCAAAGTTGTCACACGGCATACTAGAAATGTTTGCCGGCACTGATTAATTGATGGGCATGTGGGTCCCTGCCAAGATCAAGATGGAAAAGTCTTTGGCCATTGTTTCGCAACGAGGGAAATGTAGCCAACTTTTTAATTTCATATTCAGGTTTTCCAAGTTTAAAGAGTTTGTTATACGCATTAGCTTTCAGAGTTTTAGTTTCTTTAAATAGGAAAATTTTTAGATCCTTTATAGATTCTTAACTTTATCTCTACAAAAATATTTTCAAACTATATTATCTTTAAGAAAACGATAAACTGAAACTCATTCGTTATTCCGAGCTCGATAATCCCAGTCCGCTTTACGTTAAAACAATCAACTTAAGCATAACCAGCATCTTTTCCAAGTTTTCTCGGCCTCCCAGCATTATTATCAAAATACACACCCAAAAGGAGAAAAAATAGAGGGAAAATAGCAAAACGAGGTATTGTGCCTTATGCTGGAGAAAAGTTGATTGTTTGGCCCTTGGGCTATTTGCTTTCTTGATGAAATAATTAAATGTCATTCATTGAGGTCGTTTGCCGCTTATTCTTGGAGCGCCATCGCTGGACCTCTTTGCCGGACCACTTTTCTGCTTCCTGATTTCCGGCCGGGCCTTGTGTAATTGTTGACCACTTTCGCATATCCTTTTTGCGCCTTGTGCTGGCTAATTTGTGCAGACAACGCCTAGGGGTAAGGACTTGGGTTCTACTCGGTGCGGGTCCTTTTGCTTTTGATTTCAGTTATATATAGTACACACTGCCCCGTCCCCTTCCCAGATCGTCCAAGTTCATTAAACTTTTTGACCAGGCTGCGCCATTGGTCCAGCTAATTAAGTGCTGCACATCCTGGCCCGGGCCAAGTTTAATGAACTAGTCCGGAACTGACGTCACACCTGACGCATCCCGTCTGCGAATTAGCATATTCATAAGTGTCACGTCAGATACAGCCGACGCATCAGATGTACTATACAGATAGAAAGATAGCTAGATGGATGGATGGACGGATAGGATAGACAGGCAGCCAGACGACGGGCAGCTTGACAACCAATTTGCTGCAAAACTTTTGGGTCTTGGCCAGTTTTCAATTTGATGTAAGCCACGAGTTCAGACACCAGCCGAAGTTTCAGCCGAGTTTATTGCCTTGCCTGGCAAGTGGGCAAGTGGCAGCATGGAAATCAATTCTAGCCCTATCCCTGGAAAAGTCGCGCCTTTGGCCACTAAACTGCAGGTGGCCCCACTGGTCTCTCTATTCTTGACTTGAAAATGTGACTTTTCCCCGGGGCGGTACCCGAAAGTCTGCGTAATGTTCTGCCAACTTTAAAACTGTCAAATGGACAAGCCGAATGCCAACCCAAAACTGTCAAAAGTTATGAATTTTCCATGCACACACACAGAGTATCCTCTGGATTACAATTAATGTAAAAAAGCAATTTGAACGTCCAGTAGATGTAGATGGTAACTGGTAACGAGTATTTGGTAACTGGTAACTGGTAACTAGTACGGTAACCACAGCTAAACATTGAAAATGGGATGGCCAGGCCGCCTTAGGCACCACATATAAATCACATGAATTTATTATGATGATGGCATAAATCATAGAGCCATGCAATATATAAAATTGCACCAATTTTTTTTTTTTTATAAGGGAAGTTTTTGTTTTCTGTTGAGGCATCAACTTGGGGGCATTGTGTTCGTTGTTTAAGCGCCGCAAAATATGCAATTCAAGCGATACCAGTTGACAGCTGGGAACAAGGGGGCAAGGATGGCAGTGGACACATCAGTGTTGTCTTTCTAGCCGGATCATGTAATTTATATATAGGAAATTCTTTAAGGTCTTAATTACTTATGAAGATACGTGGTTTAAACTAAGATTTGGTAACTTTAAGGAACTGTCAGTTTTCTGAAAATGTAACTCAGATATCAAACTTTAATTTAGTTTTTGTTTCCTTGGCTTAGCTTATTGAAAAACCTTCAAAAAAGCTTTTACCTTTAATGATGTTTAATATCAGACATAATACTTCATATAATAATAATATTTTCAAGTTAAATTAGTATTTACCTTCCCAAAACCCTAAGTAAGCCATAAAATAAATAAATTGTGTCTAAACCATAAAACGGAATTTAAATGTCTGGTCTGGACAAAGTCCAAACTCTGTGAAAAGTTTTCCGTAGTTTTAATTACCTAGAAAAGTATTATTTTAACTTTCTTGTTTTTGGCTTACTCTTGGTAGTTTAGTAGCTAGTTTATTGTTTTTTAACTACTTGTAGTAACTTTATTTGGCGAATCTAGCAGCTTCACGGTGCTGACATGGCGGCACCACTCGACGGCAGGGCAAGTCAGGTCAGCTCCTGTCAACGAATGTGGCTGGTCAGGGATCGCTAGGAGGAACTGAAGCAGGGACGCATCGGAATCAGGAGAAGGAGCAGAGTGCACCGCTGCGGCGAAATGTTCGGACAGCTCGGCACATGTAACCACCCCATATGAAACGAGCCAGAAACGTTTTGGCCCCCATTGAAATGGGCTCCTTTGTTTTTGTGTGCCGGGCCTAAGCTTGGGGCAACTGTGCACTGGGAAAACGGGAAAGTGGACACTGGATACTGGGTTCAGGATGGGATGACCTACACCATCATCATCATTCCCCATTCGCAATTTGTTTTTAGTGGCCTGTTTATGTTGTGAGTATCGCCGCAGTGGCTGCTGTAGTAGTTTGGTTTAGTAGTTTGTAGTTTGTAGTCTTTCGGCGGCTGTCACTTTTCATTGCCCCAGCATGTTCATAATTTCCATGTTAATATTGCCCTTGAGTCGCAATTCAGCAATGAAATTAACTCGACTGTGAGAGTACTGTGTGTGTGTGTGTGTGTGTTTTGTTCTGTTCTGCGGTTCGCGCTAACCCCATCGCCATGCTGGGCCAACAAAAACATGTCCATTGCAATTAGCATATGAGCAACAAACCATGTGTGGCCCCAGCATTGTGGGCGCTCGGG